GTGCATCGCTCCGATATCGCTCGGCTGTCCCCTCCAACGTCTACTACCGCATGTATGCTCTTGTGTGTATTCTCCGTGCCCACGTCAAATGAGACATCTCATTACTGCTGCGTGGGACAATCGCCGGATTTCCTTAGATAGTTTGCATAGATATATAACGACGCGCAGACCCCGACTCTTTTTTTCCTCTATATTTTCGTTCGAAGAAGAAATAATCGACTCATCTTGCGCACGCACATGCGGCTCGGAAAATTGTATCCCGAACTTTCGCGGGCAAAAATATACTTTACGCCTGCGAAATCCAATTCTTCTGAAATCGTAAAATCCATTTTCGATATTGCAAAACTCGCTTCGTGCGTATGTTATATATTATTATATGAAAAAAAAAAAGAAGAAGAGACATGTGCATTGCGCGCCATTTTTCTCCTTCCACGAGCGGAATTCCGTATACGCACGAATGTCTCCCAGCAGGAAACCGGAAGATAGCTCCGCAAGGATCTATTGCATCTCCAGCGATGCGACATTTTCGTGGTCGTCGATTCGCTACTCGAAATTATTTTTATTATTTCGAATATTTTTATTTCAAAAGTTCGCCATGTATACTTGCGCTCAAGATGCATCGCTAACATATTGTATCGCCTTGACTTGTTTATTCGAAAAGTTGGAAAAAAGTTGCGAGTGAGATAAGTTTATAAATATAATACATAAACGCAGTGCAGCTTTGCTTTTTTGACTCGTTGCAAGTTTTTTCTGCGCCATGGGCAGGATTGACCAAAAAATGCTTTATGCGTGTATAGTACTATTATTTTCTATTGCTACGCTTGACAATTGCATTAGCTAGTATAATGTAGAATAGAAGGAGCATTGTTATTTGGATATAGGGATTTCATACAATAATCTTGCCACACACATTTCTACATGGCAGATGTGTGACTTTGACTCTCTTTTGTCGCGTGGCCGCCGCTACAAAGCCTTATACTGTACGATATAATGGCTTGCTCTTGAAATGCATTTTTCTTTTCACGACACAACATCGGAGTCGAGTCGCAAGATTTGCCATTCGTGGCACTATATAGTCTCGAGCCGAAGGATTAAATATATTGTCCTTGGTTGAAAACGCGGCAGTCGACTGTGCGCATATAATAATAGGCAATCAAGCAATCGTCGGTAGCGCGTCGTAATAGCCGCGACTACTGCTCCCGCTGTTGCTTCTGTAATGTAATGAGGGTGGCAACAAACGAGGCAACACAGACCGCGAGGTATAGCCGGCTGCTGCATAGCACTGTCGCACAAATGTATAAAAATGCGTTTGTTGTGGTGTTTGTGTACATATGCGAGGGCGGCAAACAAGTTTTCACGTACGTTGCTCTCTCTCTCTTTTCCTCTCTTTGCAGGCAGGGCGCCGCGCGCATGGCAGCAAACAGCCGGCATCGTATATAGCAGAGCGGAGCAGCGCGCGCCATAGCAGCCTGCAAGCAGCCACTCGATCAATACGCGTTTCAGCCGCGCTACTATATACGCGCACACACAAGCAAGGACCATCCCCCGCTATGACTTTACACCAGCCGAATCTATATATATAACTATAGATAGGAAAGAGTATTATACAGCGTGGAGGCGATATATATAGGAGTATACACAAACCCGTAGTGCGCGCGGGGTGCACATGCACGCGATTCCGCAGTCGATTTTGCGTTGCAACGCGAGCTGTTTAAATTTAACTGTTTTTAGGATGCAACATATAGCCGAGCTCGCAAAGCAGATATACGATACACATCTGAAAATGCCATCAGCTAGTAGCTGTGTATATGTACGATGTGTAGTAGCGTGTCTAGCCGCATCGATGGGCTGTACCATCTATACTGTACGTGAGCCGCCGCTACCCCCTGCGCGCGAGCGCCCGAATGCGAGAAAGACAGAAAGAGAGGAGAGAGAGAGAATAACAGAAGCTATTTTATTGGGTCCACTTTTGTTTGCCGACCATAGCCGACATTTCGTGCACCTGTTCTGTGCGACTCTCTCTGCGATATCGTACAGCCCTCCGCGCGCGTCTGCTACAAACCCGTATATTGTCAAAATGCCAGAGCGCAAAATGTACGAAGAATTCTCATTTCATCGAAGCTCTCACTCTCCCTCTCTATCTCGCTATCCGACTATTTATTCGATAGATTTTATTTTTACCATTATTTCCGGCTGTTTTTTCCTCCCCCGCGTTGGTCGTTTTTTACTCTGTTGCTGATCGCGTATCTCTTCTCTTCCATCGCTCACGAAACAGTACAATTGAGAAAAATCGTCGCGTTTATATTTCTAATTGTTTTCTTTTTTTCACTTCATCGTCACTCTCTAGCCAGCTACTACATTTTTCTCGTACATTAAATGTAATAGCTGCTGTTGCTCTTATTCGAGAGAGAGAGAGAGAGCCCCCAACATGAACGACTACGACGACGACACGCGTTCCCGTCGTATTTCGCGCATTCCGACGCGTCTCGTTGCTCCCGCAAGGGTGTGCTGCTGCCACACAGCCGCACATAGAGAGGCCTTTTCATTAAACGCGACTGCTATATAACTTCAAGGAGAATAGCTGAGAGAGAGAGTCAAGTTGACATGTCGAGCGAGATATCGCGTATACGTGTGCTTTTATTATTGTTATTATTTTGCTTTTCCTTTTTCTTTTTTTTTTTACTTCACACTCGAGCTGCTCGAGTTAAGCGTACTTGAATAATTGTCGAGTACCATGTGTGTGTGTGTGTATAAACACGCTCCATATATTCCGGCTTTATTTCGCGCGACACGTGATACTCTCTCCCCTGAGATGGCAAGAGGGTGAAGAGTAATCTTAAAAAAGGAAAAAATATCACACCGTGCATAAAGTCGTATACACTTGAAATACGTCACTTTTTGAGCTTTAAGACCACGACGCGGTGCCACAAATGACGCGCAGACACAATACTCGCGTCGATTCTGCGCTCGTAAACTTCGACACACACCTCTAGAAATCCCCGATTCCCGAAGTCCTCGACACGGTGCAAAAGCATGCACGTCGCTAAAAATTGCTTTCTTGATTTACAAATACGTATACCCAGAAATGGATATATATTTTTTTTATAAATTTTTTTGCCTCGATTGTTATCTTTCATGCAATCCCCGGGCGTGTGTGTGCAACGTCGAGCGTATCGTTGCTTTGTGTATATCGAAAACTTTGCAATTTCGGAATATCGTTCTTATTTCTTGGCATTTTTATCTGCGCTTCGTGTCTCGCGCGTGTTACAGTATAAATCCACGTTCTCTGTATAAAATACATGTATCGCTGTCGTCGCGTCCTCTCACCCTCGAGGCGGCCTCGGTGATATTTTACATTTCGATTCGTTCAAAGGCAAAACAATACAAACGAAACGAATATACACCGAACTCGTGTTATATCGGGAATAAAATTCAACAAAAATTGAACTTCGGAGCTCTGTATATCGTTTTCTCTTTACGAGTTTGACTATATATACAATATTATTATTATCAGTTCGGAAAAGAAAACTCTTGCAGCTTACGAAGCTTTTTTTTCTTCGCGAACCGCGCGGGAAAAATAATCTTTTTGGAAATGAGCGCAGCAACTCTTCTCGTTTGCAAAAAGTTCTTCAACTTGCGGGTATAGATAGCGAGAGCTGCCGGGACGAGCAGCTTCTCTCGTTGTACCTTGAATTTCATACAAAAGCAATCCTCGTTTTTCCGGCTATGTACCATACTACTTGGCTCGTTTTGCGCAGCTGGCGCGCGAGCTACTATGCTACTTCCACCTCTACTACTACTTCTGCCGCTCGTTGCGCTTTTCAACTCGCGAGTATGAATCCCATGATTTACGAGGCCACAAGATTAAAGGCGCTTTATGTATTTGCTGCGATTTTATATTGGATTTTCTTCGTTCGCATGCACACATACATACTCGAGTACAGATACACATATATATTGAGAGTACGAGAGCGAGCGAGAAAGAGAGATAAGTAGATTTCCATACAGGCTGTAGGCGCTTATCTTTTTCTTTATTCCGCGCGGACAATAATTTATCGGCGCGCCGCACAAGCTCTCCTACGCAGCTGATACGAGCTTCGAGTCGAGCACACAGACCAAGATTACGATGGATTCGAGAGCTCGTGCGTCTTGCAGTTGGATTAAAAACGACCAGCTACGGTTGAGGTATCAAGCGACTATTGAGATGCAAGAACGTAGAAATAATTTTGCAACTATTTTTATTCTTCAATGAGAAACGCACTATACACACGCGTATTTTTCAAAAGAATTACGAGCGTTGGTAAAAAAACAATCATTCGCTTGTTTCGTGCGTCTGTGAAAAATTCAAGGTAGACCCCCGTATATTTTCCGTGCGAAGGCGATTCATTTCAAGAGATTAGATTATAATGTAATTGTGGCGCCACCACTGATGTTGCATTATAGATATCTTAAACTCGTTTTCTCGTCTGCCCCCTCGCCTTCCTTGTGCTGCATGTGACACTGTGCGCGCGATACACCCCTTTTTCTTTGCCACGTCGTAGCTCGAGGGCACCATACATTCTCCACAGAGTAAACTATCGCGTATTGCGCGTACACCATTTCAATTGGTAATAATTTGAAAAATTTAACTTTCCACGTATCCAGTCGCGCGACGCCGAGTTAAGCTCGTCGGTGCAGCAGAAGCAGCAGCAGCAGCAACGGCAGCAGCTTTTATGGAGCTGTTCTGGCTCGGTCGTTTCCATTGCGCGGCCCGTAAAAGTGCGATAAAAGCGTTACGACGCTCGCACGTATAAGAAAGTCCCCGGGTCGTTAGTGGTGTACATAGTCGTCTACGGGAATGAACTAAAAATTGATTTTTTACTCGCTCTAACTTATACTCTGCACGTAGAGCGCGCAGCTCTTAAATATTATATTATGCACACTCCTGTTCTTTCTTTTTCGATGAAATTGCAACGCCAACAACAACTGATCGATCGATTCTCTTTTCTTTCTTTTTGCAGTTCTGTCGCTGAGAAACACGCAAGAGGAAGAGCCCCCAGATCCACAATTGATGCGCCTGGACAACATGCTGATAGCCGAAGGTGTAGCCGGACCCGAGAAGGGCGGTGGCGTTGGGGCTGCTGCCTCTGTGTCCGCGGCAGCCGCAGCTGCTGGACCCCCTGGACAGCCCGACAACGCCATCGAACATTCGGATTACCGAGCCAAACTCGCGCAGATCCGCCAAATTTACCACCAAGAGTTGGAAAAATATGAACAGGTAAGCACTTTTGAGCGAAGAAAATTCGACTTGAATTTTTTATTTCTCACGTCGTTTCACCCCTGTGTCGTAGGGGGTTGAAAAAAAAAACATGACTAAAGTGCAATTTTATTTCTCGTACGCTTACGTACTTGTACGAGACACACATAGGCGGTAGAGCCCAAAGAGTCACGAAAGATAGAATCTACTCTGAAATTAGGAATCCAGTCAGGACGACGCCTGCCTTATCCTCGCCCTTCGAGTTATAACGCACACACGCAGGCAGCGTCGAAAATCACGCGTGGTGGCGGGCACCATGCGAATACTAACTAACGAGTGCGGAGAAAATTACTTTCTGCGCGTGTACTCCCTTGCTCACGATAAAGCGTTCCTCACATGCTCGAGAGCCGTTTCATTTGCGCACCAAACTGCACGTAATACTCGAGAGCTGAAATGTTCATTTTGTGAATTTTCCTTTCGCAGGCCTGCAACGAGTTTACCACCCACGTGATGAATCTGTTGAAGGAACAGAGTCGCACCCGACCCATAACTCCCAAGGAAATCGAGAGGATGGTTCAAATTATACACAAAAAGTTCTCCAGCATTCAGATGCAGCTGAAACAATCGACGTGCGAGGCCGTGATGATTCTCAGAAGTCGTTTCCTCGACGCCAGACGCAAGCGACGAAACTTCAGCAAGCAGGCGTCGGAAATTCTCAACGAGTACTTCTATTCACACCTAAGCAATCCGTATCCGAGCGAAGAGGCCAAGGAAGAGCTCGCCAGAAAGTGTGGAATCACAGTCAGTCAGGTATGCTGGAAACTCCTTCATTGTCGCGGCGAGTGCTCTCGCTTTTTCGTCTCTCGAGAAATTGTATAATTGTGAATTTTTCTTTTAGGTTTCCAATTGGTTTGGCAACAAGAGAATCCGATACAAGAAGAATATAGGAAAAGCTCAAGAGGAAGCTAACTTGTATGCGGCTAAAAAAGCTGCCGGTAAGCTGTCAAAATACTCACCGTACTAATTTACACGACCACACAACAACTTTACAACATGAACAAGCACTTGATCTTTTGATTTTAGTCAATAATGACAACTTATCTTTTCATTATCACTGATGATATTGAGGCTAGAAAAAGAATATTTATTTTTCAGTTTATTTTGTGTTTTCGTGCTACTGAACTTTTCAGTAAACAAATTTATGTCCCTTGTCAAAATCATGCGTATCAACTTTTTTTGTAATCCTCTGTATCGGAAATAATATCGTATGCGTGAACTACTTTTACGGTGTCTTTGTACTATTTCGTGAAAAGATATTATTGATAATTAGTAAAAAAAAGATTAACGTGTTTCAAACAGCTCGAAGCCGTTTTATCAAATTTTACAATTAGCTTTATTCTGTTTGAATTTAGAAAGTCATTACATGTATATAAATAATTTTACTTTTTATCGATGATGCTTAAGGTTTAACAGTGCGTTTGTATGTTATTTGAACTACGATCTGTTCTTCAATTTAATGTTTATTTTAGAATAAAAGACTTTATTATGCAACATAAACAAACCAATTTTTTTTACTTTTTTTTTACACTTTCAAAACTTATTATTTATCACAAACATGAAATTTTATTTCTTCGACGAGGGTGTTTATTTATTTATTGCTATTTTTATGCTTTTCATACTTTTTTACCATAATCATTCGGTAAAAGAATAATTAGCTTTAGTTGTTTAAAAAATAAAAAACACATCCTCTCCGGAGAGTTGTAAGCACCGCGATTGTTTCTACAGCAGCTTTTGCAGGAGCCTCGCCGTACAGTATGGGCGGCGCGAGCCAAGGCACACCGACACCCATGATGTCGCCAGCGCCACCGGGCGCGCCACAAGACATGGCATACGGCATGGGCATCAACGGCAGTGATTACGGCTCGCAAGGCTACAACGACGGCTCAATGGGTTACGATCCAATGCACCAGGTAAATAATCCAAGGGAGCGCCATGACTACGATGATGAGTAGACTCATCGGCTACTATAACGGTAGTGCTGGCTTTTTTCTCTTTTTTCTATTAATGTTTCGAAAAGACATGTAACTTGAACAAATACTTTTCTCAGCTTCAGGCATAATTTCTATTGATGCATTTTTATCGTACTTAGCTTTTATAATAGAATATAGCACTCTAATAATTTTATTTTCTCCTTTTATGAATTGCTGTAGAGCATGAATTTGCACGCATTATTCATGTAAATTTATTTTTGCTCCGTCCAATCTCATTTATTTTGAATGAATATGTATCAAAAATATTAACTTATATGATTTGATCTGATCTAATGTCAATTATTTCGACGTAACACTTCTATCATTGGTGCGATTGATTTCTAAGTAAATATTATTTCGTTAAATTATTACGAAGACGCGGTGAATTTCATCTATCGGATGACTAGTTAAATTCATTCTAGTAATTGTTGAATAAATCAATAGAATCAGGCACTCAAAATGCACAGAAAAAGTTACTTTGTTAGTGAATTTAAATATTGTAGGTAGTATTTCCAACGTATGAAATAGTATATTATGATACGTGTGACTGAAGCAGGCCATTTTCGCACGGCACTGTTAGCATCCGAGCGAAGCGAGGGGGCTAGTGCCGTGGTGAGAATGGGCTACTTCAGTCATAAGTATCTTACATTTTTTTATAGCACTGTGCTAAATTCACGTTTAGGCCCCCTTTGGCGAGATATAAGGTGCTCATAATAGCGTCGTGGTGCAATAATGAGCAGCTTAAGTCACGACAAAGCGAGCCTTAAACGTGAAATTTAGCCACGTAGTGTTATAAAATCAGTTTTCATTTCTGAATCTTAGAATAACAAAATTAAATACTCTAAAATTAAACTCTTTTCATATGAAATACTGAATTTTTAAATTTATAAAAATATTTTTCGCAATGAATTTAACAGTGGTTGAAATTAACTAACCAATTGTTTAATGTATAAAAAATATGAAATAAACAAGCAATGATTCGATTTGCAGTAACGTGACTGAGTGACACAAATTTCCGCACGGAGTAAGTATGAAATCGCCACGGTAGATGTAAATTTTAACTTTTGTAACGCCGATGAAGCTGGAACAAGCGGTGACTCGCAATGGACATTGACCAGCGAGTTTGAGTTTGCCAACTTCGCAAACACGCGCAAAAAAACAAAATACGCAACGACCATGTACACTCGCAACAATTACTTCGCATGTAGCACGCATTACTTTAAGTTATAAAACATCTCTCATCGCGTCCTTTATATACAGAGAAAAAAACGATAGACAACGTGTGCAATAGATTCTGTTTATGCTGATTCAAATCTCAAGGGTGCTCGAAAAATAGTTTAGAAGTTTTCAATCAATCTCAGCAGTTCGATAATTTTAAAAATATTAGATAAAATGTATTGTAAACTGACAAAGTGTGCAATAAGATTTTACAGTAATAATATTTATACGCCTAGACTTAAATGATGGAAGGAAAAAGATACTATTGTTTTATTAAAAGTAAGCATTTTTATGCAAGAATTTCTGCATCGGCCTAAATACGTAAAAAAATGTGTCTTACACTACGATTAATCAAAAAAATTTATATAAGCTTTAGCATGTACTTTTGCACGTTGATCGAGTATTTGATACATAATCTCCATTTTGAATAACGATAAATTTTATATTGTAGTTTATGAACAATAGTTCACTTCGGGTTGTTTGTTACATATTAAAAAGAATCAATTGTGAATAATACATATCAGCATAGTATGTACTGCGAAAATAGCAAAACTTGAGCACTTGCTAGATGCTCCTAGAGCAAATCATATTAGTAACAACTCAAATAGCCACCAGAGTTGATGTACTGAAAAAAAAAAACAACATGAAAAAACTATGAATGGCTCAGGGCAAGCCAATGTCTGATGGTTGGATTATGCATTATCAAGGCCATCAGACCGTATCAGATTATCAGTCATATTAAGGTGTCGATTCTGCCGATTCGGACTCAGATCAAGAAAACAACAGAAAACCACGCAGATAAAAGCTCTCAAAACAGCGATTTTTGTCAGACAAATTCGTTGTAGATACGCACATGTTCGATGGTGGCTAATTTGCTTATCGCGTTTTTAATTTAGGACTTTTTTCTTTTCGTGTATCGCAATTATTATGCATAGTTTAATTGTATGCAGATTGATATTTTAATGTTTTGATATTATGTAAATTTAGGTTTTATCTTGTATAATCTAAGTTCGCGAGTATAGACTATGTAAAATAGAGAAAAGAAACAGTGATGAAAACTTGACACAGTGAATCATGATTGCGTGATTGATGAACGTACTTTATTTGTATTTCTTAACTTGTTGTAGATGTGTCGATCATGACATGCAAATTATTTTATTACTTAATTTTGAAAGCGAATTATAATCATCAGTTTGGAATGCTCGTCATACGTTATTTATTATTACTTGCCCGATAATATTTACAAAAAGTCAAATTAATTTTAATTTATCCAGGATCATATGATTAATATACATTAAATGTATAATTAGAGGTGAGATGTTAATATTAGGTGACTCTCTATTCCTTATGATTGAATAAGGATGAAGAGAGCATCGCGTACGGATTAGTTACTATCACATACGCTAGTTTGCTGCTAAACAATTTACGAGCGCCCATTTTTCACTCTCTAACTTTTTTTAATCAAACTTGTTTCGTGCCTTTTGTCGTTATGCGTATATTATAATTATTATTATAACTATACTTATTGTCATTTATATTACTATGTGTATTTTTAATTGATTTTTTCAGTTGTATATTATAACAATTTTATTAGGTTATTTTATTTTGCACACATATTCAAGCTTATAATTATTGTACCTTAAAATTTGTAGTTTTTACTGTAGTTTTTAAAATTATTATTTGTAATCTTATTTTTGCATGTAATTAGTAAATAGAGTAATAATCAAAGTACATAGTATTTTGGTTTTACGTGCAAATAAAGTATACGATTTTGCAAAAAAATAATTATATATATTTTTTATATTTTTATTTCATATTCCTTATATTCTTTATATTTGTGTTAGTAATTTTTATTTGTATTTAAAATTCTTAAGATTTTATAATAAATTTTTACAAATGTATAAGTGTTTGTTTTTAATTTCAATTTACGAAGAGATCTATAGTTGAAGAAGAATAGATCTACAGTTTAAAAATTAAAATCTAATTGTTCATTAGTTGAAATATTCTATAAATGATATATTTCAACACGTTTGAATTGTTTGCACAAGTTACATGAGCTAAATAATTGACAAGTGGGTTTTAATACTTAATACCTTCAAACATGACGTTTAATTTCAGGAGCTGTCACCTTGAAGCCCTTAAACAGGAAGGCCTATGAATTATAAGCAGATTCAATTGAAAATATTTCAAATATCTGTGAACAGCAAAAGAAATTTTAAAATACACAAAAAACAACTGCTCTTGAAAATAAAAAATTGAAATTTGCGCTCGTGCAATTTGATCACCTTACCATTCGTGATCTTAAATTTTAATCGTTGATAAAAAAGCGATAAATTTGAAAAGTAAATTGAGAATATCTAAATAAATGTAAGGTATTAAAATTAAAATTTTGATAAAAGGGCCTGGAACTACATAGAATATAGAACTATAAACAGTTATATTTAATTAATCTTTAAATATTCTCGAATCCTTCGATTTCACTGAAACTAGCACAGGCGAATTTTTTTAAATTATCAACTCTTGCTTGTTACCAAAGAAAAGCGAGCAATTTTAAATAAAAAAATAAAAAAATAATAATCAAATAGTAAATTTATTATGTACATATGAAGTGCATTGGAAATTGGATAAAAGGAGAAGGATCGAGAAAGAACGTATACGAAAAAACTGTTTTTTAATCTTACTCTTACCTAATTAAAAATGTTCATAACTTTATACACATATGTATGTACGAATTTATATATGTACACAGTACATATATCTCTACGCTGAAAGGTATTGAATTAATTCCTAATTTTGGTTTATCTGCATGCGAGATTTTGCTCGCAAAGAAATTACTTGTACGGTATAAAGTGAAAATTAGCGTAAGAGAACCGATAATACTAAAAATTTAAAAGATAATTAGAACGAGAAACTGGCGATACCATAAAAGTATACGATTTTCAAACAAAAAATATATGTATACAAATAAATAAATTTAAAAACATAATTTAGAATTTTTATGCTGGTTCGAATAATTTGCTGTTACTTGCATGGATTATTATAGAATTTGTGATTATTATGAATTTTACTTACTTATCGTGATTGTCTATACGAAACAATTTGTATCCATTCCTTATAAGTACGAAAAAAATTGAACTTCATATTAAATAGAAGCTTGCAAACGCTGTTATTGACAAGATCGTTTTCAGTTGGTTGTTATAAAAATTAAAAATAATTCAACGCAAATAGATTTACAATTAAGTCGACGACTATTTTATATTGAGCTTTTTTAACAGATGTAAGTTTGCTTAATGATTTTACATTTCGAGTAAGACTGTAATTATACAAAATGAACTTAGATTTGACCGTGGGGCGTTGATGTTATAGCGATAAGTACAAGTGCGTCGAAGCACAGCTTTGTATACGAAAAGGGCACACAGTTATTGTATACGAAAAAGATCGTCCGCGAATGTGATCGCTTGTGAAGCGGCATCATTCTACGGCCGTTCCTTATGATATAATATACACTAAGCGGCTCTAACGAACCTTTTAAACGAAAATAAGATGACAAAAAAAAATGTAACAATATGTATTTGCAGCAGAGATTTTTTTAAGATAAAAAATCTGCAATCACTTCTAAACTAAATAATGCGAGAACGGAATATTCTTTTCGTTAGCGTGTTTCACTCGATTTTTAAGGAAAAAAAGATTTGTAAACTAGAAATGACATACGACGATGTGCAATGTAGTCAATCTTTCTATGGTATACCGCTGATATAGCCTTTTTTATTAATAATCGTATACGTATGTGATAAGGATATTGAATCGACGTTTTATGCAACATTATATTATATTATAATATATTTAGAAAAAAATTATATCATTGGTCACCGTGATGGTTTAAGAAAAAAAGTACGGTGTTTACATAATACGAAGGTATACCAAAATGAATTACACATTGTATTTACTAAAGAGCATTATAATATCGAAATAAAATTCTCAAAAATTGTTCTGATTTTTTTTATTTCTTATTCGTTTGATACACTTGTACTTCTTTCCTGGTAAAAATTTACGACAAAGATAACGGCCTAATGACTTTTCTAAAGTTTAAAAATGGTTATTGAATAGAAAAAAATGAAGCGCCGTATGGTCATAAAATATTGAAAAAAGTTACATTTTTCATTAGTATATGTCCAATTTTAATAACTCTTTTATGTCTTAGAAACTTTGGGTTGGGTTAAATGAAGGAATCGGGAATGAAAAACTTATTAAGAACATACTTTTGTTTGATTTTTTTCATACATTGTTTATTTTTCTTCTTAAAAAAAGAATGAACTTGAAATTGTTTATTTTTTGTTTGTTTGTATAATAATGCGAGTAATGATTGGGCATTTTGAAGCGACGATAATACATGCTAGGTTTTGCAAATTTAACTAAGTTTTTGTATTTATAATCTTTTTTTTCGATTTATAATTATATTTATAATTATGTATATATTTATAAGATTTTCTTCGGTAATCATGACCCATACTGCGTTTATACTTGAAAATTTTATTTTCTCAATGTGATGCATCAATTGAGTTGCCATCGCCAACACGCACAAACTCATTAGAATACATGTACATGTAAATTTTAATAAACCAGAGCTGTAGCAACTTATTTCCTTCTTTTTTGTTGCATTTACGTACATTTGTGCGATTTTTATTGCCCCTCAAAAATAAATCGCTTTTTTCGTCTGTATTTGATACAATTTCGAAAAAAATTGTTTACAGCTCTGTTTATTACATGATTGTAAGAAAATGACGATTTATCGTATTATACTTTTACACTGCACACTTGCATACATATGTGAAGATTTTTACGTCGTTCCGCGTTTGATTTTTAAGATGTTATGTTCAGAAACTAAAAATTAAAAACGAATTTGAAATTTAACAACCGTATGACTGAAAATGATGATTTTTTTCTACTTTTTTGTGTTATCTATTATTCGAAAACATTTCAACATTAATGACTTGATTATGCGTGTTTCAATTGACGCTTTCATACATTCACATAATATCTTCTCCGATTATAATCGTCACAAACAAATATCATTTCATCTTTCTATACATTACTTAAAATTTAAATCTTTCGTACAGTGTTTATTCACGTATTAATATTGATTTTATTAGTATGTATAGTACATAAAGGTACAATCTTTCATTAGTTTGAGATGAAGAAAAATGTGTGTTGTCATTATCATTTGACATTCGTATGTACATTTAATAAGTAATATACAATGACTTTACATCGATAACGGGATCAAGATGACAGATTTTTACTGAGGGTTTTTCATGAAAAAATCTTTTTTTTACCAGAATACTTTGATTCTTAATCAAAAATAACAACAAAACATTCCATTACCAATGGATTTCATTTTCTTAACGGCTGCCATAAACTTTCCAATAGTCTATATGTCTTATGTCATTGATATAAGCTTTTTCCGATGATACTCGCATCGAGATTTTTTTCTCACATTTAAGTCTGTTATATATAGCAATGAACTAATGATCCAAACATTCATATTTAACATTCTTAATGCTAAAATAAATATTACTTGTTCCGTGTGTCGTGTATGGCAGGGTTTTGCAAACATTTTATGTATTATTTTTATACTCATCATTACATGCATACAAAATGTGGCCTTTTTTGAATGGGCAACGCATAAACATGAACATACAGTCATTATCTGAGGAAATTTCAACTTTTCGTTGTGTGTTGCAAATATATTATATTATATATTTATGGTCTTGCAAAACCATTCAGCTTCACATGCTTTTTTTTAACACAATAATTTCGAAATTTTCTTCATATTTTTGTCATTTTATCATTTCATTAAAAAAGAAAATTATAGTTATAGTTACATCATGTCCTTGAACCGATAAATTTGAAAGGCATTGATAGTTACTTATTTTCAGAAAGTATAAGCTTATAATTATTATTTATCATTTATTGGCAATGCAAGCGTACAAGGTTTTACAAACCATCACCGTATAGTTTACATATATTTAACTCTTTTTCAACATTTTATACCTTCCAATCGAAAAACAACGACTCATCTAATCTCTTACAGAAGTGTAACGTGTTATTTTCATTTTTGAACAAATCAATATCTTTATCAGGCACACGCTCATCTTAATCACACTCAAAGGAGCACTGGTAGAGAATATTTTGATGGATAAAAAAATTTAATCTTACATTATTGAGATAAAGTTTTTTTATAGATTATATCGAAGTGATGTCGATTATATTTTGTAAAAGTATGAAACTTTAAATTGAGCCATAACAAGTTGCTGGCTCATCAAGTCCATGCGACACATTTTAACAGAATACGTATAATATATCTTGTCATTCATTTTAAAATAATATTATATTTTTTACATTTATTAATGACTTTTTTATTTTTATTTTATTCGATTTTTAATGTTAAACATCCTTTTCGCATTTCCAATATTAGTTAAAAAGAACTGTAACTAGTTTTGTATTTTCAAAATGAAAATAGTAAAAAATAATATGAATTATTATCGTATTAAGTTATTTCAACTGATTTTTTAATTAATAATCAAAACGATTTTTTTTTACTATGATCTTAATTTTTAATGAAACTATATCATATTAGACATTTATTTCTCTTACGACATCACTATCAGAAAATTTGGTCGTGTTTCATGCCGTTATTATTTAATCGTTTAATTTAACTTATTATTATGTTGTTTTTTTATCAAGCTTATGTTAACGTATAACTTGAAATGAAAATTGGCTAGAAAATTGAGAGGATGCTAAGAAGTATTCCTACATTTAGACTCTAATAATAATAGATGTAATTTAATATTCTCATTCACTTGAATACACGGTGATCCTAACAATAAGTCATTATGAGATAACAAATACAATTTTTCACGTAGTAATAACATTCAATTACTCACAATAAAATTTAAATATATTTCTTTGTTTAATTTATAAATTCTATTTATTCGATAACTATTTAATATAGATGATGTAGGTTACAATGTACTATATAAATAATTCAGCGTGAACATGATCAAGTCCACTGCTCCAACATTCAATTTTCTTCATTTTTTTGTAATTTAAATTATGATATTTATCACAGAAATATTACATTAATGATGTAATTTAAAAGATTTGAATCCTAGAGCGGTATATTTTCACACTGTGACACGAACATTTTACGAGTCTCTTTTACAATTTATTAATTGCTTAATTGGTTAGTGAATTTTCAATGAGTTCTAATAGTATAAAAACAGTTTCGCATTGATTTTTTTTTACTATTTATGAATATTTTATTCAATAACAAACTAGAAATGGCTTATAGAGTTTGAGTTTATAACGATTTAAGTAAAAGGTAGTCGTTTTTAATTTTAATTTAACTTAAAATAGTCCAAAAAAGTTGTTATGTTAAATATATTTCTGAGCATTTTGACGTTATTCATGTTTAAAATTTGATGCACTTAATATATAATTTTTATTAGTAATTGATTTCACACTTATTGGCAGTTTTCGATTCGAGAAAATTAAAATAAAAAATGAAAATAAAATAGTAACCAAAGCAAATATATCATTCATAAATATTCATTAAATGTTTAATAATTTTTTTAAATATTTTTTCAAAACAATCTTTTAAATAAAATTTTTTTGTAGTAAATAATGGGGAAATTCCACCCAAACATTTTATTATAAATATTCTATACCACATGAAACATTATCTTTAACACACAAGAATAAATTTCTTTTTATTGATAAATGTTAACAAATAGCGCAAAAAATTGTTTTCATTAATTTATAATGTAAAATATTGCGTTGTACTTGTCCACCTGGGATAAGATGTGCAATTATCAATATTATCTTTTTTTCATAAGTGTTTTTTACACTGAAAACTGATCGTCATCAACATAAAAACGGACGAAAGGCAATTCATTTTCCTATATTTTTAATGATAATCAGATTTACGTATTTGTAAGCAACTCCTCGTATTTATTTTTATATATTTTTTTAATTACGTGATAGAATAAATTATTTTACTTTACGATTCAGATAATTTCTAATATTATCTACAATAAGATAATATTACGGTAAGCTAATATTATCAATAAATCAGACTTTTCTCGTGACATGATAAATGGAATGCTCATAAGTTTGCACGAGAGGTGGGTCTTAATAAATTTTTTTAATCGAGTGAATCTCATTCATATGTTTTTTTTCGCGTAGAAAGGCTGCGAATAGTGTTTATTACCTATTAAATCTCTACACACGCAGTGGACTCGTTCGCATTTGACGCACTTCAAAATTCACGGTAAATTTTTAATCGACTGTCTTCTATATTTTATGAATGACGTTTAATAAATTTTGGCAGTTCGGAAGGAACGCGAGAAATGCAACGCTAATCATGCAATCATACTAGGCTTCTAAAAAGCTAAAATTCAGTTATTCTCATTCCTTTATCCGTTTTTTTTACTTTCTTCGGCATTTTAGTTCTGTAGAGGGATATATTTTTTATAATGTTTATTATATTTATATTTCCTTTTTTTATTATAATCCGTATAAAAAGAGGTGGATGACACCGTAATAACGAGTTATTATTTACTTTGCTTGAGTTTAATGATATACATATTAATTTGCTTATGTAAATTACATAAGATATATGGCATGTTAATGATTTTTTTTGTAACGTGAAAAGTATTCGTTCATGTTCTTAATTATTTATAGCGAGATTGAAAAAAATACGAAAAATCTCTTGACTATATGTTCAGTGTCACAATTTTTACAATGAAAGAGTTCTAATAATTAATCTTTTCATGTGATCATAATATGTGTATTCGGTATATTTATATATTATTAATTCACACGATGATAATAGTAACAACATTTCACGTTTTATACTCTTCAATTATATCGATAACGAAAAAGAAAAAACATTTCAGTGTTTTGTAATATGTACAATCGGTCGTGCTCGTAATAAAATGTTCTATAGGATCGTATTTTCATTAATCTAGTCCCTTTTTTATTCGCATATAGAAAAATGAACTCGTCGGAGGTTTATTCCTTAAAAACTATTTTCTCATATATGCTAAGATAATAAGCGCAGGCTGTCAAGCGAAACGCGTCAAATATAGATTCAGCCGGCTGTTGTTATAAATCTTATATTATCAGTTTTACATTACTTATTGAGTAGTACAACTACGTTAAATATAGTCTGTATATTTCTGAAGGACAAAATCAGGATGAAAATTGTCAGCTTCACAAGTTTGTTCCTCTGAGTTCAAAGCCTATACAGTTATTTATAATTTTACGTATTGGTAAACGTGACTAATAATCTATCGGAAGCTTCTCCGTATCGTCACTCTTACCAACAAGAAAACCGCCCGTTTTTAAATGTGTTAGTGTGTATGTGTAAAAAGATGCGCACGCATGGTTATTTACATTATATATTTTCTCGAATGAATTGTTGGGCGGACTACTGTCATTTACAGCGAAACTGTTGATGAGAAAGGCTCGACGTTGCCCGGTGTTCGCTGATGGCAGTGTGGTCCAGACTGCAACCGGGGCTAGCACCAGTCGTCGTCGTCACTGTCGGAGTGCCTGGTGCGCGCCGTTCGCGATTTCGACTGAAAAAAGTCGCAATAAAGTCAGGATCTCGCATCTTTACCGATGGTCGGTAAAACAGATCGTTGTTCGGAATCTTACCTGAGGCTTGTAGCCATTTGGTACAGGACTGGGTAGCATACGGCCTCCTCTACCCATAGCGACAGCTTGCTCGAAACTAAGTGGACAGATTGGTGGACCGATTTGTCCATTGGTCGGTGGTAAGACGACGCCCTGCTGCACCGCCAGAGGGCCGTGTGTCGGGGACGCGCTCAGCTTAGGAAAATTGATGTTCGCCGGCGTCTTGAGCAGCAGCGTCGACGGTTTGCTGGGCGTGGGCGGAAGCCTGCGTCCTTGGCTTATGCGGCGCGTCACCAGGACCGGATAGCTGTGTTGGTGCGGCTGATGAAGATAGTGATGGTGTCCGCCGGGACCGATGCCGCCACCGCCGCGGCCGCTCGTCATCGGGGACGGTGATCGCGAGCGTTGGTCCAGCGACGTGGTTCCGTACCGTCGACTGTGGCTGTCCATGTGATCCATACGATGCACCGGACTGGGCGAGCGTGCCGGGGACGTTGACGCGCTCCAAGGGCCTGCTTTCCAGGGGTTAAAAGTTAGGGCCAATTAATATTTGAGAGATTATCGATTTTATATTGGGAAGATAGTCATTGCAGTTATTTTTGTCCAAATTCACATGTTTACAACACTTGTTTTTGACACATCTATACTCCTCAAAATAAATGCTTGTAACTAAATTATAGTGACGATCGAATTTAGCATTACCAAAGAAATTTTCGCGTTTTTTCATTAACTAAAGCGGGCTTTAGAAAAATAAGTGATTTAACTATTCACAGCAAATAGTAGTAAAGAAAATTTCTTAATTTTTATTCCAAATTTTTACCAAAAAGTAAACATTGCCATTGATATGTCAAAATAATTATTAGCTTGAAATAAATCAGAACGAGGAGTATCAGTAAATTGTCATTAAGAAGTATGAAGTTAATTTTTACAAATAATTTTTAAAAATATAATACTTTAGCTAAAAGTCATTCCTGGATATTTATACAGAAAAGATAATTTTTCATAAAATATAATTTGATATGGCGCTGAATTGCAAAAGCTCATACAAAATTTCATAGCATGAAATTTGTTTTTGTTTTTTGTTTTATATTAGTATAAGTATTATTTTTAGAAGTCTGTGTGGTAATAATTAATTTACCTATAAAACCTGTTTACTATACGTAACTATCGGGATCGTGCAGCTCCTAGTCTAAAAGTACTTTTTGATTATTACAAAAAATATAGTTTTTTCTCATAATAACAGAAACATTATTCAAAGTTCCTAAATAGAAATGCTTAACATTTTAAGGATAGTTTTTGACGAACAAAAAGTTTTTTGTACGTATTAAAGTCATCAGAACTGGAAATTTACGTAGAAAAGATGTAATATTTTTTCCAATATTTTAGGACCACATAATGCTCCCTGTTTTTTGCTATCTAATGACTTTTATGACTACATAATCCTTACAAATTATGAGTTAAACATATTTTCAGTAGTAATTTTTTAATAATTATAAGTCAAATAATTTTATTATTCAATGGTCAAAGCTGTGCTTTGACTCATTCAATGATTTTAACTTTGCCACTTGCAGATTTACAGATAAAGGTATTCGCCATCTGGTGGTTGAAGCCTAAAGTGGTTATTATTTGAAATGCGCTTAATATTTTCATATTACATAATTGTATTAGATAAATCGACAAAAACAAACCAATTAGTGATAATTTATTTTAAAACATTTTAAATAATCATTTTTTTCTTACCAGTTCACTTTTAATGTTAAGCATTTCCCTCAGCATTTCTAACGTTAAGTTATACTACATTTTTTGTAATTTTACTACAAGTTTTTGTCTCTACAATGTGCACACGATCTTATCTAACAAGTGCTGTTCATACACTACAAGATTTCAAACTAACTCCGGTAAAAGGAAAATTTCATGTCTACCACGATGCAAGTCGCTGTGATGATACGCGACTAATCGGGTGTCTATGATTGGTGTCTGCGTCGAACGTTAAACCTTGATTATTACTTTTTTTTGTAAACCATTAACATTAACTGAAAAATCTTAACGATTTAACGAACAACAAAGGTGTTATACTCATTTATGATTGTGATAGGAATCAACAAATGTCTGTGTGGTTTATAAATGTAGTGTGTTCTGTGATTGAAATGAAAAAGAAAATGAAAAATAAGAATCTGAAAAATAATCGCAAAAAGCTGCATTTACAGGATTGAAAGAGAAAAAGAGAGAAACAGAAAGTAAGAGATCTAGAGATAGAGAGAGAGAGAGAGATAATAATGAGAATGCTTTGGTGAAAGAATTTACCATCGTCGTAATAGTCGCAGTGGTCGTAATAATCTGTGTAGCGCATAAAAAAGAACAGAACGAAGAAAACTTATTACATCAATTGATAAAATATTGAGCTTGTTTCTTTGGTAGCGAATGATCTATTGAACAATAACATTCAAGTATCAATAAAAACAATTTAAAAACTCTTGCTGCAAGTTTTTTTTAATTCTTTCCATCTACGGGGGTTGATAATTAAACAAAAATTGTAAATGTTATTGAACAAAAAAATAACACTATTGAAAATCATAATTTTATCGTGTACAAACAAACACATCTTTAACCTAGGTTTCTTCATACAGCTGAATTTTAATAACTTCTCTGAGAAAAAAAATCAATGCAACAAGTACGAGCTAAACACTTGCAGCGCGAGATTCTTCAATTCGTCTTCTTTCATCACGAATCATATTTTATATGATAACAATATTTATTATTATTATTTAAGATGCTCAATTTCGATAACTTACCCTTGTATCTTCTTTTGTATAAGAAATGTGAATGGGGATAACGAGCATCCCTTTGCATTTCAACGACGTTGTTGACGGTGTCACTGAAACCGTCGTGATATTGACTTCCTCGATGATCATACCTGTGTTGCCTCGGGGACGGCGATCTAATAAAAAAGGGAGAATTTATATCACCATCAAGTTGTCCATAGGAGGTAAAATTAAGTATAAATTACCTCAAACTTGGCGATCTGGAGTGTCTGGTTGGATGGGTTTGATGGTGCGGATGAAGCCTCTCGCCGTCGTGCGTGAGACTCTCGAGACTGCCGGCTCGCGAGTCAGTGATGCCCACATCTTGCAAATCCATCTGGTCGAAGAAATAAATGGAAGGCAAAAATGAATTACCGTTCCAAGAATCGAAGGTTGCTTATAAAAAATCAATTAAATTATCAGATGCCAAATCCAGGAAAAAATATATCAGAGGTCGGCTCGTGATATAAAATTCCAGATTGGCCTTTCTCGATCGATATATTCTAGTTATAATTGGCGTCAAACTCTGTTTCGATCAACGATCATTTTATATGACCAAAACATGATAATATCGTCAACGTTTCCAATGACCACAAAATCATTGACGATTTTGTGTTTACATTATGCTAATCGTTTCATTTATTTTTTTGTAATTTTATTCATTTAATGCCTAAACTTTCACTTTTTTTTGTAACATTAAAAATTTTCTTGATCGGATCAATGACGCCTTTTGCCTCTGTCGATGGATCAGCTCTTCGGACGAGTTATAAAGGTTTATGACTCGAACGTAGAGATTACGGTTTTTTCAAATAATTGTGCGCAAGCTCTTCACTCGGTGTTATTATTAGTAGTTAGTACTAATCTAAAGCAGTTCTAATGAATTAATGCTTGTATAAAACTTTTCAAAATATCTTTTTCTAAAAATTCAGTTGCTATATTAGTGATCATTGTAAGTTTTGGTTAGAGACGCAAGAATGAGTTAATTTAAGCATTTGTTAGAGTTTGAAAAGAGGCAAGATGTGATTATTATAAAGATCTAATATGAAGCTGTTAGATGTGTTTTCTAAGTGAAATTTTGTTTTGCTAGTTAGAGAAAAAAGTTGCTTGCAGAATGTAACATTTTTATATTATTATCATCGCATGCTCAAATATATGTATAATATATATAAAAATTATTAATCGTTGTAATCGTGACATGCCCATGCTATTAGTTGCAAGAGAGGGAGAAAAAAAATCGAAAAATAATTCATCCTCTATTTTCAAGATTGATTCTTTTTCATCACCATTGGTTAGATTTGCTGTGAGTGCCTCCAGAGGTAGAGCCATATTCAAGTTTCTAAGTACTTACCCGACAGTCTCAGAAGATAACCGGGACACGTAATTAAATATATTTCAATAAACCAACGAAAAATTACAACTCGATAAAGATACAATCGTTTCCGTTATAACTAGACTAGAACGTTGATCGTCTAAAAATTTCACCGGTAAAACTGAGATCTAAGACTATCAATGGTCGCTAATCAATCGTTTTCTAAAGACCTCGAATGAGACGATGTTAAAATTTTAATACCACTAGACATCGATTCTGTTGGCCCAAATGGACTGCCAACTATTAAAAGGACTAATCCTTTGATGGGGAAACTAAATCTAAGAGGAAAATTTACGAATCACGAATAATTATGAAAAAAATCATCTATAAAAGGACGAAAACAATCGATACCCTCTATGAGGGCCAAATCCAAGATGATCTTGATTTAATATAAAAATGAAACTCGAAAATGCTGGACTCTCTATTGAACGAAAAGTAAACCATATGTACTAAAAAGAACGTAACTATGATACAAGGAAATGGAAAGCACACCTCAACAAGCTAGAAACTATTTATAAAACTTGTGATCAAAACAATATCAAAGATCCAAATTCGACAGAGAGCTGTCAAATCATCACTAAATTAAAGTGACAATTAATTGTAGGGATGCTTTTTTCAGGCGGGCGTGGGGTCATTTATCATAATTCAAACCAAAACTATATAGAAGGAACTTTTGTTGTTGAGAACCGAGTTAATTGACACCTTTCGGTGGCGGATCGAGGATCGAGAAGCATAGATGCTGGAATGATGGCGATGACGCGACGATGACGGTCTGCGATGATGGTGATGATGATGATGACATTGATGATGATGACGATGGTTATGGTGATGATCACGATGCCGCAGACGATTGTATTTGTCATAGTATTTTTTTTGGTTGTCGTAAGCGTCGTAGTAATATTTGTTGGCGTTTTTGTGATGTCGATGGCGATGGTCGTGCTCCTGCTGTTGTCGATGATGGTGATTACGATGATGCTGATGATAGCGCGACTGATGCTGTCGAGGCTCACGATAGTATGGATCGTGACGGTAACCCAGATGCGAGGCCGGCCGCTGCTCGTGATAATAATCACGGCGATGCTCCTGGTGCGAGGCCGGCCTCGCGGGCCGTTGCTCGTAATAGTCGTCCATGTAGTAGTCCTGATGGGACGCGGGCCTCCTGGGCCGCACGTAATAGTCGTCTCGGTGATGGTAGTAATTTTGTTGCGAAGCCGCCCTTGTCAATGTCGGCTGCTGCGGTGGTTGATAGCGATACGAGTAAGCCTCGTCCACGTCGTAGTCCTGGTCCGTAGTCGTAGTAGCTCGTCGCGTCGCGGCATCGTCGGCCGGATAGTAGTAGGAATAGTACTCGTCGCGATAGCCGGGATACGACCTGGAGCGAGGCTCGCGGCCATCCTCCCACTGTGGCCGATCGTTACTACCATGACGATGATTGTAATGATGATCGCGACGCTGCTGTTGCTGCTCGTCGTGAGAGTAATAGCCGTGATGAGACGCGGAGCGCCGCGATCGGCGGTAATCGTTGTGATGACGGTTATTGTACAAATCGTAATCTTGATGAGATGTGGGACGGTAATAGTTTTGTGATTGATCGTGATGGCGAATGGTTGGTGGTGGTGGTTGATCGTACGGCACCGTACGATGATGATAGTACTCGTGCCGACGTGAAGGGGAGGACATGGAGTCGAGGCCAGCGCCGCGGCGCGGCGACGTGGACGACGAATACAATTTGGAGGCACTGTGGCGGAGGCACTCGTGGCCGCTTACGTAATTAGGCTCCGGCGGATACAAGCCGTAAACGTTACTATCGTAATTGTTACGCGCGTCGATCGGCATGGCTCGCTGCTGCTCGCGAGCCCGATCGTAATGAGAATCGTAATCGTAACGACTGTCGTAGTGATCCGCGGGGGACGACAAGAGATCGCGACGATGATCGTCGTCGTCGTCGTAGAGAAAATCGTCGCGCATCGAGTGCCGGGACGACGAAGCGGTAGTGTCTTTCAGCAATGGCTCTAGCTCGGGGCCGCGCTCTCTCTTGGCTCGGTTAGCCTTTCCTGCCTGCGACGCGCCCACCAGCCCATCGTGACGATCGTCGTGATCGATCATCAACCCTCCCTCGTGTTCGTGGCTACCGTCGTCGGCTAATGCGCCGTTCGTTAGCTTATCGTACTGCTGTGACACCTTCCAGTTCACCTTTTTATTCCTGCGAAGCATACAAAACAGACGGGAAGAAGGCAGAGATGTCTCAATTTTGCTCTTTATGATTTGTTCAATTTTAAGGGGCCAGCTACAGTGACTGCAATTTACCAACCACTTACTGCTATACCGACATTATCTATTCTTCATTTTTTCTAAACTAACTTTTTAGAGATGGCTCCATTTGCAGAGATTTACTTTGTAAGAATGGCAATAACTTCAATTAATACTAAATTCTGAATAATTAGAGTCTTTTTCAATAGTTCCATGAAACTGGATATTGCCGGTATAGTAGTTGGTTGCAAACGCTATTAACCGAATGCGTGAAACGTAGCACTGCCGCCGCTTTGAAGTGCTATTTTATGGAGACAGAGCCAATAGATGCTCGTAGTGGCCACCGTGAATTCACGCAGCCAGCCTATGTAGCTGACACCCGATTGGTATAATTCATACGTACTTGAGACTTCGCTGGCGTCTTTGCTCGGCGGCGGCGAATATCCCGAACGCCCCGTCGTCGTCGCCTTCGGTGCGCGAGCCCCTGTGCCCATGATGCGGATGGTGCGGATGATGCGGATGGTGGTCCTTGCTGGGCTCCTGACCCGGTACCGCCGGGTCGAGGCTATTGGTGCGGCTGCCCGGATGGTGATTATTACCCGTGTGATTAACGGCTGCGACGTCCAGCAGCGCCTCGAAGAACGTCGAGCGCTGTAGTGTGTAGCCACGGTGAAATGGCAGATCGAAACAACAACCGTAAACAGGTCAGATTCTCCATTGTCTTTCTCTCACTCGAGTTAAGTTTGTCATTCAAATCATAAAAAAAACTTTCCGCGCGATATTTCTTTTTTTTTCCATATTTTTAAACAAAAAATTGTGTTTCCGTTTGCTTACACGTGTCAACGAAAACATTTCTTTTTGCTCGGTTTATAAACGCGCCGCTGGCAGAATCCACTTTACCGTATGTACACTGGCACATACACAGGCTTTTCCCCGGGATCACGTATCTTCTCTTGCACTGTATTCCATTATCGACGAGCTTCTTTCGTCATATTGTTAACTGTTTAGTTTTCTACTCTCTGTGTTTTCTCCTTTGGCATTCTATATTATAGATATTATATAATATATTTTTGTTATCATATAAATTAACTATAACACGTTTTTTTCATTTAATATTTTTTTTTTGACAGTATGAGAATATATTGAGAAGAAAATTGATTGATGCGAGGTAGTATAGTGAAGTAGTAACATAGAGCTAATAAGTAAAAGGCGGAGATGTTATAATTAGGAGCACGAGAGCAGAAACACTAAGAATCAATTTTTTTTGCATTTTAATCAATAATAGTTGAAATATATTCAATATGTATAATAATATATCACATGCCAGAAAAAGTGTCGTGGTGGATAAGTGCAGAGTGTGATCGTTTTCATCATAGTTAATGAGCAAATTTTGTGAACGAAATTTTGTTGGTTTATCGTTAACATGCATCGATATATGTGTCGATATTAACGATCGTATTGAAATATATAATTCGAATTTGTGATATACTTTTTATAATAATGAGACAGGTTTTTGAAGGATTACACGAGACTTTGTGCTTTTTTTTGTAGTTGTTTGTTATAGTGAATACGGCGACACATAATATTTCATTGATTGCAGTTGTGAATGTAACACTAAAAGTGATCAATCAGAAACACGATCTCACGATACTTGGCCAATTGATTTTCCAAATTTTTTTTCTCTTTCAAAGCCTGTATATATGATGGTCGTTTGAGCGTACATTCTGAATTTGGATGCTGCTCAAATGGCACACAAAAATATTATTGAAGATAAAATAACGTTTTCATCTCGATAATTATTTCTATGAATTAAAATACTTTTCATTAGTCATATTTGTAAAAATGAGACACGCAATCTGAAATGTGTTTTACCTGCAAAAGAATCTATAGAGGCAAAAAAACCATTTCTGATTACTTGCTCATTTAACTTTATGAACAACTATTAGAATTTCGACTGAGTAAACAACTCAACTCGAATTAATCAATAAATCGGATTATTAATTTATAACCATTGAAAAATGTTAACATTTAAAAAAACTTTTATTCTCGAAAAAATATTTTGTTCATTACGAGCATGCCTGATTGGTCATTATTTGAGCTAAAAAATTAATTTCAATATTCATCGACAGTGAAAGAATCTCACGTTCTTTCATTGTTGATCGTTAAAAACTATTTTCTATGCGATGTAAATTTATATGAATTGGATTAAGGGAAATTCATGTTATAGAAGTACAGTCTAATTTCGCTTCAAGACAGTTCAAAGCAGACTAGAAAAAAATCTACATCCATCATATCGTTAGTAAAGTACTCTATAAAAAAATCTAAAAAAAAAATTAAACTAGTCTACAAGATGCTCAAGTGAAAAATTTGATATACGTATATTATATTATGAAAAACAGACTCGACTAGGACTACACAATAGACATGAGAAAAGTAGATAATGATATATATAAAGATAAAAGAGTAAGTAACAAATCTAGTTTCGATCTAAGACCGACTAATTTGTGACTAGTGTGAAGTCGTATTTGGTTTTGTATAAGATTTTTGAATAATTGTTGATGTTGCGGTATATATTTTATAAGACATGTTACATGTGCCGTGAAAAGACTATTAGTATGAACTATTAGTAATGAAAGTATATAGAAATAATCAAATAATTGTCATATAGAGGCAAAAGGCGAGCTAGTTTACCAACTAGTGTCTTCAATTGTATATATACCTCTACGGAGGATGTCACTTCTCTATTTTTACGCTTATTAATTTTTTTTTGAAACACATATCAGACGATCCTTACTTACACATAAAGTAGAATACTCTAAAACACACACAAAACACGTTGACGAAAACGAGATGATATACATATATTATTATGCGACGCAAATATTCTTGCGCTAAACATGTTTGCGCTCGATATTTTTTTATAGTTTATATCAATTCGTTAGTAATAATATTAAATATTTTAATAAAAAGTGTGCCGTGCATAAAAATTCTTCCGAATGAACTGAGCTTTAGACTTTGTTTTCAGAAGTAGTTTTAAGCAAGGCAGAAAATATATTCTTGTAATCTCTTTTGCTACGCATTGAAACAATCTGGAGCTCGAAGAGATTGCAATGCTATTCTACACTATTTTTCTCTACTATTATTATCGTGCTTATAATGTTGAAAAATGGAACTTCTCGTTCACTGGTTCTTTTTTCCAAAAGCTAGTCTATTATTCTATATGCTTTGAACTTATTTTTTTATGTAGGCATTCTAAGAAAAATTTCTATATTTTTCTCAACTATGTGTGTCATATTATAAAATCAAAATAGATCTAAATTACGCTTGTGCGGTAGTTTTCTAACTAAGAAAGCGCAATGGTCGATGTAATTAAAATGTAACAGTTATAGATTGTTTTTATTTTATATTTTTGATACATCGACAACTGCACTGCTCTCAACTTTGAAGAAAAAGAATTAAAATAAAAGAACGCCAAACTATAAAAAAGATGATATCTGTAAATTTGAGGTAAAACAACTAAATGATATATCTTTCAATTCAAGGGAATAAATAACTTTACTCGTTCAACTATGTTGAAACATCAAATGAAACGATAAAAACGCAACAAATGATAAAATAATGATGCGACGACAAGTAGACAAATTATCTTGTCACCAGCGAATTTTTTTCCAGAGATAATCTGTCTTCGTAGTCGTCCAGTGATAGGGTGCGAGCGAATGTTAAACATTATTAAAAATGTATATGTCAATGAAACAAAACCATGAAGAAAGGCGTTGAAAAAGAATTAAGATAAAGAGAAGAAAAGAGTAAGTACTACCGCCTGGGCTCCAGCTTTTTGCCCGGCATTTTCGTTATCGATAAGTTCGTTATCGTTCTGCAAAATAAAGAAAAATCATAAACAAATGATTGAGAGCTTTATTCATTAATCTTTTTTTTTAGTTTTCGTTTTTTACTCATTTGAGTCAAGACCAATTAAGATCTTTTAATTTTTTTAAATTTTTCATATAGAAGTGATTAGATACGTGAATCTAAAACCTATTTTTGCAATAGTGGCATAAAGTACAGATCTGCTAAATCTCTCTAAAGACCCGGCGATGCCGAGTTATTGTTTTCTGCTTATAACATTATCTGTTTCTTTCTTGTAAGAATATTTTTTTACAAAAGATAGTCAATCAAGATTACCACTCAACACTCAAACTCTAATTGTGCCTACTTTTCACATCATTTTTATGATGGTTAATCTAAAAGTTCGACTAAAGGTACTCGTTTTTCGATCAAGAATTCAAATATTGAAATTTTTTACAACAGTTTTTCTAACAGGATCTATCTATGAGTTTTTTTGATATTGTCTATTATTTAGTTTCACTTTACAACATATTAGATAAAAAGAATAGTTTCAGCTACATTTACCGAAAAAATCTAAGTCCATTTATTTTTAGTACACGATTTCTAGATTAAAAAAATATTCATATTTCATATGGTTTCTAATATCTAGTCACATTTTATAACTATAAAAAAATGGATATTATTTATTGCAGCTTTGCAGTACTTGAAAAATTTGATCGCCAGAACGATCGGAAGAGATTTCGACTAGCTCGAACCTCGAAAACTGTATAATTTTAAACATTTGTTTTGATAGGAGTTTTTTTTCGATGTTCGTCACTTCATCAATTTTCATTATGCCGAGAATATTGAGTTTGATCATGATCATAATGTGTTTCGAGTGGACAAACACAAATGAGTGTGTGAGACGTTCGATGAAATGACGATGTCAATCGAACTAACATTTATTATCATGTTTTTTTATATTCACGTTGGATTGGGTAAAACTTTCACATATTTCATTAGCACTACTGAACACAAAGTCGAATGGACTCCATTAAGGTTTCACGAACAAGTAAGTTAGTACTGATTAACTTTTTTTCATTGACAATATGCAGTAATGGAATATTGTTATGCATATAATGGAGACCAGTCTAACAAAGAAATGAATCAAATAAAAACATCTAGAAGCATCGGTTATTTTTCTAATCGATTTTCACAAGATTTCATACATTGATTATTATCTTCGTTTTTCCATTAAAGTCAACAAACATTCATTCCAACGTTCAGTTATATTTATGATATTTCGTAATTACTTCAAGCGGCCCCTTAATTTAAAAAAATCTCTGCTTGTACTTTTAATGTCAAAAATGATTTTCGACGTACAAGACATACGAGACTTTTTTGTTTATATATGCTCGGGCCCTTTTTCTGTCATAATTCATTTTTTCAGAAACATTGATTAATAACATTATAAAAAAAGTAATGAACTCCGCACGTTTGTAATTAAAAGATATGATTTTAACAAAACTTACCTGGGTCGATTCTTTCTGGCTAAATCGTGTGGTCCTCCAACACTCAAGAATTAACAGGCCTGCGTAAATCTTACCAACCGTAAGCTTATTTTTCTTAATTTCTGTAAATCACGGAGATAATGTTTTTACTTACTGATTTTACAAAAATGAATAATGTAAACGCTGATTATTACCTTCTGATCTAGGCACCAGAAGATCTAACATTTTCTTAGCCTGCAGAGGCCATATATTTTTAATCGTTCCTCGAAGTTCTTCGTCAGCCTGGTCCATTTCATCAGCTAAAAGTATGAAAATTTCGAATAAATAAAATCACAATTTTTAACCGAAAAACAATCCCGCCCTCGATCGAGCCCGCAACATGTACGCTCACCGCTTCGCATCTTGATGCTCAGATTTTCTCGAATCAGAGCAAATAGCGTAGTCGTGAAATTGACGCGTCCGTCCTCGTCGACCGGCATGTTCATCCTTATCAATTTCTTGTACGCCAGCCTATTCGGACACTTGTTGCCAAAGCCTAGCGGTGGCTCCATGTTCTTCAACATGTCGTACATCTCGGAGTAGTGTATCTTGCCGGTCGCGTTCGGATCGTACTCCGCCCATATCCGGACGAACTCGTCGAGATGATGGGCGCCGAGGATCGACGAGTCGCGCGTCAGATAATCGAAATTGTCCATGATGACGGCGACGAACAGATTCAGCATGAGAAATGAGCAGAAGAAGATGAAGCTGACGAAGTAGGCGTAGGCCAGATTCGAGCCGCACTTGTCGCCTGCCTCCTTGGAACGAGGATCGCACTGCTGATCGGCTATGCAAGCCAGCATGATGTTCGGCCAAGCTTCGCCCGTCGCGCATCTGTCGGTCGTCCGAAAGAGAAATATTTCGGGCGAAGAAAAAAATTATGGGGTTGAGATTTTGTTACTTTATAAAGTTATTTGTGTACACACAGTTATTATTTTTAGAAAATTTTAAGTTCGTTTTTTTTGTCAAAGTAATAAAAAAAGTTGTTATTGTGGTTAGAAATCAAACATTGAATAGACATTCTAAGCTAGAATTTACTGCTAATAAAATTATTAGGCTTAATTCAGAAAATTTAAATGAGTTAGTTTATGGTACTAAATATGATTACAGAAAAATATACTGTCAAGTTCAGATTTTTTCGCTAAAAAGCCGTGCAATTAATGGACGAAAAAACTAAGACACCATATCACTACATCCAAGTACTAAGTCTCATTGTGTCGTAATTTTTTAATCTCCAAAATTCAAACTACGTGTCCTCAAGATGTGCAGGAAAACTATCAGGTTTTTTCTTTTGAAGTCGATTATAGATTGTAACATGGTATATTCATCATATGTATTTATGTAATTTCGATGCATAGATTATTAATTTTTTTTTGTAGAGGACCATCTGATTCCAGCTTTCGTGCACGTCAAATGTCGATTAAGGCAGGCACTTACCGAAATAGTAACATCAGACCTTGAATGAAACTCTGAAAATTATTGTGCTTGTTGATCGAGTTTTTCTCCACCAAGGCGATGTTACCAAACACCTGAGAGCGTAGGTAAGCAGAAAGGGTTGGCCCCAGCGAAAACAGAGCGGAAAGCACCATTAAGTACGTGGTAATACGAGTGAGCAATGAACGAATTTCGAATGAATCACTGCCGTTATTATTATTTTCTTTTATAAATCATCGATTCCATCTCAAAATTTGTCAATATATGGTCGAATCGTGCGCAACATGTTAATTTTTTTTCTCATCAATCGTTTCTTCGTGTGCTCTCTCTTTTGCTGGGCCAGTCACTATATGTATTCAATGCTATACTATTGCGGTGATAACTATCAATAATAGCACTATTTGCTTTACTTGGTTGTTTATTATGTAATATATAATAGTAAAATGTTCTCACTCTACGTACTATTGTATTATGTAAGTATATAATAATACCATGGTAATTAACTAAAAATAATAAAGTTCATTCTATCTTTTTAATGGGCAATGATAAAGGATTGAGTTTCAAAAGTTCAATAGTTTACCTAAAATAAGAACTTCGTCGAGCAGCTTACTTCTAAAATCTACACTGTCAGGCTTTTTATCAAGCTAATTACAACTCTCTCCCAAAAGTACACAATGAGGTATGTTGTAAAAGTTTTACATACGAAAAAATCGCCCATTATATTTTCAAAAATTAACTAAATGTCATAACCTTCTAAGCTTATTATATACTTCAAATATATAATAAAATTTCAAATAGGCTTATGTGTTTTTCAGTCATTGTTTCTATGAAAATACGATAATTCATAACTAAGAAAACTATTTGTATAAATAAATATATAGTGTTGTTAAAATCAAGGCAAGAAAAAAAAGTATCTTGTTTGAACTATATGTGAAGCAAAAAATTATGGTAAAAACGCATGGGCGATATGTAGTAGTAGTAGTAGTATAATAATTTGTATATATAATATATAAAACGTAAGCTCTCATCTATGTTGAATAAAATACTTTACGTAATAATATAAAAATATTGTAATAATAAAAAAAGTGGTCTGTTTAATAAAGAGAGGATAAATAAAACTAATGAGTCTTTCTCTCTGCCCATTATTCAGCTGCTCGACTCACCGAAAGAGCAACATAAGACCGCCGAAAAATGACTGAAAGTTGTTGTGTGATTCGATAGCTGTCGTCGGGTCGTTGGCCAAATTTCCAAAGACCTAGATGATGAGAGGGGACAAAAAAATTGTTCGCTGTAATTAATGCGCTCGGGGTCGTGTGTAAAAGTTACTAGAAAAAGTCCGTAGAGGTCACTGTTTACAATTCACCGGCTGTTAATAATCCCTGTTAATAATTTTCCTCTGGCCACATTGACATTTTTGCGATTGATTTTTTGCACTCGTCAAATTGTATTATTCATAAATGAAAATGAATTTATAAGGAGTGATGATATTTTATAATGATAATTATCAACGATTCTTACCTGCATACCGATGATCGCGTAAATGAAAAAGAGCATCGCTATGAGTAAACAGACGTAAGGTAAAGCCTGAAATGAAAATTACAATCGTTTCAAGCAAACGATTCGCAAGTCGTTCGGTAGATTTTTTTTCTTTTCACAAACCTTGAATGATTGTACAAAAGTCCAGAGGAGAATACGTATAGTGTATCCCTGCCTCAAAAGTTTGATAAGCCTGGCAGCCCTGAATAGTCTGAGAAAGCCGACATTGATGAAGTTCTCCTGCAGGGAACAAAGAAAATTGCACTTAAACACAAAATATTGGTGTTTCAAAGATTTTAAAAGAGAAGGGCTTCGTGCGAGCAGTAAAGACTCGACGCTCGAGTTTTTGTGTTACATTTGTCGGACGCCAGTTCGGCGAGTGATAAACGCTTTAACACAACCTCATACAGTCGGACTTCAGCGCGCTCGAAGCTATCAAAATTTTTTTCGGTCATGTCTAATTATTTTCTATCATATAATATTGTCAAAAACGTCATCAATCAGTTCTGTAACTTTCTAAATACATTGGTCAATTAAAATTAGTTCTAATAGTTTTCTGGATTCTTAATGAAAGGTATACGTATGGTTTTTTTTTAAACTGATTTGAAATATGATGGATCGAAAGTAAAAAACATTTTTAAGTAAAGTTACACCACAATGTCATTAATTGTAGATTAATTGTAGATTATCATCATGTAATTATAGATGTGATTAAATTTGGATGGCCATTCATTTTTCAGATCAGTTGTAGATTTAATTTTTTCGAATCCTTTTTTCATCATGGTGGTGAAAAATATAGGGTACCACCCGATGAACTGTAATTCAGATTTACAGACCATGTGTTCAAGCTGCAATATAGTTTGCACGTGATTAAATTACAATATACAAATCATTACATAAATCTCTGATTTGTAACGATAAGTCAATTCAAGACAGAAAGTAGAGAAATCCACATTTAAATCAGCATAGAAAATAAAAGTACGTAAGAAACACCAAGCAGGTCAAAACTATTTTCATGTAAAACAAAGTTTACACCGATGCAATATTTCATCGAACACATGGTCAAATGAATGAAAGTAATCGATCACATTTTCAAATGATCGATTCAGTTTTTTCTATTTTCGTAACAGTATGTTTGTAATGATCAAATTTTCATTTAATCACTACGCATGTTGAAAAATACAATCGATAAACTATCTTAAGTCTAACATCATTTTTTCAAAAAATTCAAATTGTTTCATTAGTCGTTAAAAGGAGTATTAGTTTGGTACAATGTCATATTTGAAGTTGCAATTCACAAAATTAATATTAATAATCTTGCAATTCATTAAAGAATTAATCGTAATTACATATGAATTCATGTTATTCATTTATAACTAACCAGATATTAACACCCAGTTAATATAAAGTTGAAATTTACCAAACATTTTTTCAAGGAACTACTTGTGGTATTATTCGGTAAAATGAATCAACTATTCTATACTAAAAACAAAGAGAAAATTTGAATGATTTATCGAACAATTATTTTGAAAAAGTATACACCAAAAGTTTGGCAAGTCAAGCTTTTTAGAAAATTTTTAGCGAAGCATGAACCGCACAGAGTAATCGAATAATATTCGTATATTTACAAACATCAGTTGAAATATTTCAATTGCATTGCAATAGAAGCGAAAGTTACAAGTCTCAGTGTTGCCAAGTCGTTGATTGAGGTATCATTTTTTTTTTAAAGTTGAGCTGTTGTTGTGGTGATTTTTATCTGCAATAGAGGTTCTGTGAAAGGATGAGTAAATAGACACACATACAAGGAGGTATAAGCAGAAACATTCAAAGGTTTTGCAGTTTGAAATACGAAAGGGTTTTGGTAACAATGGGTGTACTCGTAAGGATGTCTGATCGTTAGTCTGATTTGTTTCTAGTCGGAAAAGTTTACAAGTGCTCACAGCAAGCGACACAGATGGAAAAGAACAAGCAAGAAAAGACGGTGTAAACAATAGAGTTTCACATTATAATTCATAGCTTACATTTAGATGCAATATATAATGTACATTTTGAGAGTAGTTTGCGTATTTTAATGCAGAGTTTTTGTGAACGTGTCTCACCTTTCTACCTCTAGTGAAGGGCATGCCCTCTTGAGAACTGAAGTCCTGTTTGAGTTTAGAATGATGTGGTTACGAATTTTATTTTTGGAACATACATGATAAACAACGTGTTTCTTTGTTAGATGATAAAGTAATGACGGATTTAATCTTCAAAACAATTAGAAAATACTGTGTAATTTTGAGACATATACAATTATAATAATGTGCAGAACAATTATCAAAATCGTTGGGCCGAGCTAATGGATATTAATTTCAAGCACTACCAGGTAATGAATATAATAATCTGAATGGTTTAACAGTTTCATCACAATGCAGTTTCAAATTTAGGGAACGATACAAACATGAATTGGTGTGACAATGTTGTGACATTAATACTTGTGTTGTTAACGAAACGGACATCACTATTTAACGAAATATATGTTTGAAGGTTTTTGTTGTTGTTGGCAACACTGTCAGTACAACTAATATAAAACCAATTTCAACAATTTTTTGTTTGTTTTTCACTTGTTCGATAATCCTTTTTCACTTTACAACTTTGCTGTTCAATAAGTTGCTATAAAAACGTAGGGTTTACACATACTTATGACGTAGAATTTTTCTATAGGATTAATTATCTTTGAACATCTTAACGATAATAACTACTTTGTAACATAATTAAATATTTTTATTTACTAATTGGCTACTTAATGCTATAAATATATGTTAAGTAAAATATATTTGTCAGCAGATATCATTTAGATGATTAAAACTAAATGATTATTAATTAACTTATCCAAACAAAGAACATTGATGGCGACTATCAGGTTTTTACTGGTAATTATTACTATGAAGAGGGATATTAAACTAATAATTTGTCGGATTTTCAGAACAGCAACGATCTGCAACTTCCACTACGGCAACTTTCCTCTGATAATCCAAGTCTAGCTTATGTTAATAATAAACTTGTAATATTTATATAATATATTTGTGTCAACGTCTATTGATGTAGAGAAAACTAAACTACAAACTGGACTATTTTCTGACACGTGTTATCTCTCCATCAACTTACCCGTCGCGCGGTATCTTTCTCTGTTTGAAATAATCGAGCTATCGTATCCTGTTATGGGAAGAAAACAATTTTCAATATTTTTTTTCTTTAGTAATGTCAAGCCACGGGCGAATTTGCTAAACGATTTTAGAAAAATTCCGTTCGGTCTATCTGCGAGGCCCGCAAGATTTTTCGAATCGTTTAACATATTCTTACAATCGCAGACTTGATTAATAACGCTGGAATTGTGAAATTGGTATTTATTCTGTTGAAGGTTGATCTCCTGCTGATCGCGAGAAAATGTAATACAAAGTAGTTGCTGGAAGGGGGAAGACGTGAAACCCGATTCAAAGATACTCAAAACTATACATACCCCGAATTCGATGACAAGTGCGTCCACGATACTACCGATGACCGTGATGAAGTCGAATGTATTCCATGGGTCCTTAAAGAAGTTCTACGAGGAAAAGTTAGAAAAAATATGTATTAGCATGATTTTGATGTCCAGAAAATTGCTAAAATCTTTTCATTTTTTTCAAGGAACATCATTATTATTTTTTATCAAATTATTCCATTTTTTCAATTAAGTAAAAAATGGTTTATCATTATGTTCCTTCAAAAAAATTAATAATTAGCCTAATTGAAAGCGCTACTGCTCTATATTTAATGTTGAAAAGACATTTACTGCTACATTGATTTTATCTTAGCATCTTATGTAGAGCTGTTTTTTTCAATCGATTTAATTGTATACCTCATTTTAAACTCGGTATCCGTGTTTGAACAGTCATGAATCCATATCATTATACCATTATGTGTGTGTATAATATGTGTAATACTGTGGCTAATAAATTGTGTCGCACCGGTGTTACATAAAAAAACTTAAATTTTTAAATTGATAACTAGAAAGATGTGTGTTTTGTTTTATTTTTTCATTACGAAAATTCATGTGTGTGACGCGATATTGTGAAAATGTATATAATGCGATTCAATATAACAAGGCGTGTGCGTTAAGGTGTGCTCTTGGTATTAAAGCGAATCAAACTTGGTACGAAGTAGCCAATGTATTATATTCGCTGGTATGTGAACAAGTAATTCCATTGATCATTATATATATTTAAGCTATTCTCCACGAAATTGAATTCTATTTGAGTTGAAAATAGATAGATATAGCAAAATTTTCAGTTATTCAAGTTCGAGAATAAAACAATTTCGCTAAGTGGTCTCGAAAAAAAAATCATATATATAGTGATCACGTAACATATTGGATATATATACTGTGATATTGGTGCGTGTATATATATATTCAATTAACGTGTGTGGCCAAAGAGTCAAATATATTTAAGGCATATATATAAGGTATACTGTTATATGCGTATACTTGAGGTCCTCATACGAAGTATATAGTAAATGGTGATAATATAGAGTCGAGTAATTCGACTTAAATATTTACGAGTGAAAGGATTTTTCTATTGAAAAATAAGTATGATAAGATATATCTACAGGAGCATGCCGGTCTTTTAACAAGCATTCTAGAAATATATAGTTTTCAGATAATGTATTCAATTAATCCATCGCGTTGTTACCAAAAAAAATTAATGTATTTCAATACCAAATAAGCAATATTGTTTTTAACTAAGTTAATACTGGTAAATACTCTGCAGTAATGATATAGTTATTAGTAATAAACAAATGTTTGTTTCAGCCTTTTCATATAATATATAATAGTAAATACGAATATCTAAATAGTAGTAATAATGTGAAAAAACTAGTACATCTATGCAGAGGATGAAAAAATATTCCAAGTAGTAATATTTTGCAAGTCTGAGATACATACGTATTATGAAAAAAACTAAAAGCGTCCAACGCTCGACAAGTTATCATATAGTAATGTAATAATATACCCGTTGACAACTAATTTGTAATAAATGATAATAAATGTATATGAAAGTATATTGTATCAACTAAACATCAATTCTTCGTGCACGATTAAAATATTCAATAGATATATTTCTACGTATAATAATCGGTCTGGATTACTTTCATTCAACATTACAAATAAAAATTAATTAACTTTGATTCGTTTGATTTATTAAGCGACCTTTATCGAACGGGTGTTTTGAGAGATCCTTTTCGATGATGTGATAAGTCCCTGCTTCAGGCCAGACGCATATATTTTTGTTTGTGTTTCAAAGAAACTTTATATCATTTTTTATTCGAGCTTCTTTTGCCACGACGTTATATTATTTTAAAAAAATACTCTTTGTTGTTTTGATTAAGTGAGCGTGATATAACACGCATTGTATATTGCAGTGAGCTATATGCATTCATTACTATAATCAATTATGTTATTGCATAAATATCATTAGGAAAAAAGTTATTTTTACAAATTTTTTTATCATCTTAAAAAAATGTAATGTAACATATGATACATTTAAATGTGTGGTAATATAGTGAAGACTTATGAATTAAAAAAGGCTTGGAATTTTGTTTTTGTTTATGTACCTTGCATCCGAAGGCGATGAGTTTAAGGATGCACTCAATGAAGAAAAAAAGGGTGACGATCAAGTTCACGACGGTCAAGATGTCCAATAGATATGGAGACGCTTCGTGATACTACAAAATACATCCAACACATAAACGTAATACACACGATTTTTTTTACCATGGTTAAAAATCTTTTGTTATGAAATTTTGATGCTATTGTTGTGGAGAGAGACGATGCCCGAAACCGAGATTTTTTTCCTCTCGACAATTTCGATTTCTCTGTGTGCCGTAGTCCACTATTTTCCGTCGACCGAACTCGTCAGTAAATTTATTATGTTACGGTTATTCATTGTATAAATGTTCATTAATATACTTAAGCTAATTAAAATTACGATTGCTTTATCATGCAATTTTTTCACCTACAACTTCTGTAAAATAAATCCAAATTACAGTAAAAACAATTTTATAAAAGTAATGAAAAAGCTCCCGTAAATTTCTACCCAAAAAATTGTATTACAGATAAAAACCCTAATATTATCATCTATTTATTCATTAAATTTTCATATAAAAGCAAGCAAAAGACATGAAAAAGCACTCAAAACGAAAATTGCAAAGAACTATTTACAGTGTGAGTATAGAAAAATTATTTTTAGTATTATACACGTGCTCATTCAAATGAGATATTTTCATGCTAAAGGACTACAACCATCCAATCTAGTCTACAAATAATATTCTAAAAAAAATATCAATTAATAAAAAAGCAAAAGCACGATGAAATATTGTAACATGTTAATAAAAACATTCATATAAGCATACATCAATGTGTCAAATAAAAATCAAGTGTAGGACATGAATGTCATTTATTTGTGTGTTAAATTAATTGGTACGTTGAAAATGTCGAATGTACTGTGTGAATAAAGCTATAATTTTTGTAGATGGATACTTTTTGTTACTGCGCATGTTATACATTTTCAATGACATGATCTGTTGATTATCGAACCACACTCACGCATCTGTGTTATAAATAAATCACCTGTAAAACACCAGGATACCGAAATCCTCAAGATCCGAATCGACTATTTTTTTTTCTTATTTTAATTGAATTCATTTAGTTCATTAAATTTCACTCATTTTTATGCCTATCTCTAATTTTTTTGGCAATTCAACCAAGCTATTAAGCTATATGTTTAATTACTTTTTCATCTACGAAGCCAAACTTATCGGTACGATAAGTTTGCAGTGAAGTTCATTTTACGACATTGTTAGTACATTCATCTGAGACTCTAAGAATTTCTACTTTATTATGAATTAACGAAAAATGTCATGAAATCAAACCCCACTGAAGTATGCAGAAGGAAATATCGGATTTTAGGAAAACAAGTGATGTAGCACCAGTTTATCAATAAAAAGCTGAAGGATAATTTTTTAATAGGTTTTCTTATGGTTCTTTTTGTTCTTGAAGGTTTTTTTGGAAGTCTTACCCTGACGCCGAAAGCGGCGATCTTCATAGTGCACTCGACGGTGAACATCCCCGTGAAGCACATGTTCATGTACTTCAATGTGTTCTTGTACCCGTCGCTCTGCCGGTGGTACTGCAATGCACACACTGACAAACTCACGGCCCACAAAAACAAGCTCAATACCAATAATAATGAAAAAAAAGTCTCCAGCGGACAATTCAAGCCCTTTGAAATCGATTATATTTGATTCTTTTCATTTCAGTTGTTTTCTTTTTAATTATTGTGGTAAAAACAAGTGCTCTCTTTTAAAAATGTTTTTTTTACTTTGCTTACCAAATTGACTAGGTACTTTTCAACTATGTTTTGCCAATTTTGGACAGAATAAATGATTTAATTACTCGGTACTACTCAGTCTAATAATGTAGTATATGTTTCAGCTAGTTTACTGCCAAATGAAGGATTTTGAATCAAACTAATGCTAATAGGACAACGGCAAAATATTATTCTCATTACTTGAAGTATAGATAGATACTAAATGGTATTGGTTCAATTGGGATGTAGAAAAGTACTAATTGTTTCTAACGTAACACACATCATATACGTGTACATCGTATATTACTATTATCCATTGAATGATTTTTATGATAATTTTTCACAATAACATTTATGACAATGATATTCTTTTTCTGGAAAAGCTAACTGGCTCGAGTCTCGTTCATTTTCATTGTCATAATTTCTGTAACGAATTATTAATTTTATAATGGTTATGAATGGTTTGTTTTTTCTTTGAGATAATTATGAAAGGAGTTACTATCAAAACAATTAATGATTTCAGGATTGATAGATCAATTGAAGCACGTCATTCCTTTATGATCCTTGATATTGGGATTGAGGTAGAGGAAAATTGTGAATACGGATATGATATAGAAAACAGGATTGAGTGAATTTTGTTTCGTTTGTGTTTTTTTTTAGTAAAAATAGAAAGTATTAAAAATCATTTACTAAAAATATAAATAATTTTTCCGTGTAACGAGACGGTTTATAAATGCATCAGACGAATGTGAAAGTTGGTGCCTTGTTGTATTTGGTGCAACAAACAACATGCAACACGCATTCAGTTGAATTTTTTGTGGTCAGAATCCATTATTTATTTTCATTTCCGAATAAATAATTCGATCCGAAGAGTTGCATCAAAAAATAGAAAGTGTTCAAAATTCGAAACAACCCTTCGGAAGTCAAATGCCACATAAATATCAAGTGGTAAGAACATTTCGGTGCATTTAAAATTTTTTGATTTTGCAATAAAGGTAAGAATAATAGTTCTAGTGCCAATGCAATAAAACTCGAATATTCATTTCATTTGTTAGTTTGTCAAGCATAAAGAACGAACAATCGTGTAAATATAGTGGTATAAAAAGCTTATCAAAAACAAAACGAAATGAAGATCCACTTTTATATCAGAAAAATAACAGTGCGCACAGAACAATAACCATAGACAAGTAAAATTAATAGGCAGTTTTATGTACAGCAGGAAAATGAAATTACGTACAGAGAGAATTTTTTTTTATTACAAAGATTTCATTCTTTAGAGTAGAAGTAATTTTTTTACGCACAAATACGTTTTGCTGAAGATTTTAAATTGTACTTGGACGTGAAAATCATAAGGCCACGATAAATTGATTTAAAGGCTACTCTAAAAGCGCTATCCTTCCTCTGTTCTCGAGAGGAGTATTTTTAAAAGAATACAGTGAGCAGTATGTCATATTGAAAAAATGAAATAAAAAATAAACCTGTTATCGCGTGGTGCAAAAGCTTTTATCGTTCGAAATTTACTAAGTTTCAGATTGAATTAAGTTAGGAGTTATTGAAAAACTTGTGCTGTCGAGAGATATTTTATTTTCTTTTTTGGTTACTGTATGCATGATCAATCAATCGACCAAAATCTACTTGTCAAAAGAAAACTAATTTTATAGGTTTGTTATGAGAAAAATACGAAAGTACAAATGAAGCCTTCGGTTAGTTGGTTAGCAAAAAATGTATTTACTTGCAAGGAATATTGTGGATTTCAGAGAGGTCTTTCAGAGGATTCGCCGATTTTTGGTAACGTGAATTTTCAGATCTTTGTACAAATTTACAAAGCTGATGACGTACGTAACGAGGGGATTGTATCGACAAGACTGACAATATCTTTGGTTATATTCACAAAGGTTCAAACAAATAACAACAATACTAATTATTAATAAACGATGAACGAATATGCCTATAAATATGTATGTTTCGTGAAAAACATACATAATCATATTCACATTATGGACAGGGTTAACAGACATACTCAAAGAACACATAAGTTGGCAAGCAAGTTATGACCCATTTTTTTCTTATATAAATTTTGAATTGAGATGTGCAAACATTTTTTTTGCACATAAATGTAAGAGAAAGCTCTCATTTTTTTCTTCGTGAATAAAACAGTTTGTAACAATTTTTCGATCTTATCATATGTATATAATAAAACAACAAATTTGAAATTGACATTGAACACAAGTTATCAAGTCAAGTAATATTCAACACAGCAATTTTTCATGAAATATTGAACGAAAAAAACTGGAAACATTATTTACATTGGTGAAAAAGGGTTTAAATATTGATTACGTTATCTCTATTTTCATGCTCCCCTTTTTAAAGTTTCATTTATATATCGAAAATAAAAACCGTAAATTTTTTCGTACCCCGATGTTTGATTTAAAAATAAATACGATGATGTCGCGATCTCGTATTCATGAACATATCAAGTTATAAATATTTGCAATGATAAAGACCGGATAATAATGTTGAAAAAAAGATTGCTTACCTTCATCATGAGTAATAGTGTATTAAATACGATAAGCATCATAATGCCATACTCGAAGGGCGTCGACATGACTATCCTCCAAATTTTATACTTCATACTGTTTCGCTCCTTCGGCATATACCTCTCGAGTGGTCTGGCCTGTATCGTAAAGTCTATACATGATTTCTAAAAAGAATAAAACAGCCAAGCAACACGTTGGTCAATTTTAACATTGTCAAGCTGGATTCACAATTTAGTAAATTCAAAAATAAAACCGCTATCCGATCGTCACCTGATTCTTATCGATTTCCCCGTCCTGAAGCTCGGCTTCGCCTTGCTCTTGGAAGGTAATGATAATCAAGGCCACGAAGATGTTGACGAAGAAGAACGGAAACACGATGAAGTAGACTATGTAGAATATGGACATTTCGATGCGAAAGTTCTGTATGGGGCCCTTGTTCTCGTAGGTGGCCGCCATGGAGTTCTGCAGGACCTGAGGCCAGCCCTCGCCCGTCTGCACGGCGAACAGCGTCAGCATCGCCACCATGACGTTGTCGTAATGAAAGGACTGCGACTCCCATTTTCTTTCGCGCGCCTCGGGATGCAGCTCGTTCTCCTCGAAAACGAAGAACCAGCCCCTGCGCGGATGCACGGAAAATTATTAGTGTTTTTACGATAATTGCGAGTTAGCAGCTATACGAGGCGCAAAATAAATGAGGCAAAAAGTTTTGAAAAAGATTTCGACCAAGCAGGTCGATACTCACTGGCAGTCCTCCTTCGTATATTTGCTATCGTCGGTGCAGTAGAAAAACTTGCCGTTAAACAGCTGCACCGCTATTACGGCGAAGATGAATTGAAACAATATGTACACTATGAGAATGTTAATGACGTTTTTCAAACTGTTCACAACACAATCGAAGACCGCCTTGAGCTTGGGCACGCGCTTGATCGTCTTGAGCGGTCGGAGCACTCGCAACACTCGCAGCGACTTGATGGTCGACAGGTTTTTGCTCGCGGAGCCGCCACCCTCGGCGGCGGTCATGTCGAAGGCGAACGACACGGCCGCGCACACCACCACGATGGCGTCCATGAAGTTCCAGAACTCGCGCAGATACGAGCCCGGGTGCAGTATGATGCCGAGATCGATGATCTTGAGGATCATCTCGATCGTGAAGACGCCCGTGAAGGCGTAATCGAAGTAGTTGAGTATCGTGTTGCGCGGATTGGAGTCGTTCACCGGGTCCTCCGCGGCGAGCGCTATGCTCGACAGCGAGATCACCACCATGATGAAGAAGTCGAAGTAGCGCAGATTCACCACCCAGTGAGCGCCTCTTCTTACTCTGTATATGAAAAAAAAACCGATGCATTTTTACTTTGGTCTATGCGTATAGAGATTCAAACGTTGTGACGTCAAACTCACGGATTAGTAGGAGATAATATAAACATAGACGAGTATGGCAGCATTGGTTTTGGTCCCGAATCATCTTCGTCGTCTTGTTTTTTCTCCTCAGCCTCTGGTTTACCACCTTTACCACTTTTGTTGCTGGAAACAAACGAAAGATGCGTATCAGACTACTTGCCTCTCACGAAAAGTAGAGTAACAACAAAGAGAATAAAATAATGCTTACAATTTGGAGTTGGCGTCCCCGCCCTCGTCGCCGAGGTCCACCTTGGGTCCGTTGGAATCCGGCTTGAGGGACTCCATCTCCTTCTCGAGCTCGAGCTGTTGTTTTTCCTTGCTTTCTTCCTCCTGCTCCTCTTCGGCCGCTGTGAGTTCTTGGGCGTTCGCCAAATTATCGACGGCGATAGCCAAGAATACATTCAGCAGCGTGTAATTACCGAAGAGCACCAGGACGATGAAGTAAAGACAGTATATCATGCCCTTTTTGTGACCACCTTGAGATTGGATGCCTTGATACATGACTTCGTTCCAATCTTCGCCGGTCAATATCTGTATCGAACGACAACAACATGGTTACACAGAGATGCTCGTTTGGGGCGCGACAGGTCGTCACGTATACTCACTTGGAAGACGGTGAGGAGTGCTATGGGGAAGGTGTTGAAGTTGGTGGGCGGCGTGCCGGTCTCGAAATTGAACTGGCCGCCGAAGAGCTGCATGCCAAGCAGTGCGAATATGAGAATGAAGAGGAAGAGCAGGAAGAGGAGAGATATGATGCTGCGCATCGAGTTGAGCAGCGAGATCACGAGATTCCTCAGGCTCGACCAGTACTTGGTGACCTTGAATATCCTGAGCAGGCGCAGGGCGCGCAGCACGGACAGACCGAACGAGCCCGACTTGACCGCCGACCAGATCACCTCGAATATCGAGCCCGAGATGACGACGCAGTCGAACCGGTTGAAGCTCGACTCGAAGTAGATGCGAGGCCCCAGGGCGTACATCTTGATCACCATCTCGCACATGAACAGGCCCAGGAACACGAACTCGGTGTAATCTATGGAAATATTGCAGTTAGTTTCTGGTATGAAAAAAGTAGACTATGTGTAGAGAATTAAGTGTAGAGTCAAAACTCACAAAGAAACTCCGTGAGCCAGTCGGGCTGTCCGTAATGCTCGACGGCTACGCACACCGTGTTGAAGAAGACGAGCACTATGACGAACCAGTAAAACCACTGTGTCTTCACCGTGTGCCTGATCCAGAAGCGAAACCTCTTCTCGGATCGCCAGAAGTCGGCGCAGGCGCCCTGATTCTTCACTTTGGATTTGAGATAAGAGGCTCTGCCGAATCCTAGAATAAAAATCATCGGACGCAGTTAGAATCAACGTTTTTCTCTGCAAGCTGGCAATTTGTACGCTCAGCACGATTACGCATTTTAGTTTTTGGTTCAGCGTTCAAATATATAGATCATTATTAATTATATATTCAATGCAAAAATTGCCAAAAATTGCCGATACAACTATTTATTAATAGCGCGAAGCGCTCACATATCAACGTTAATATTATATATGACAAATATTTCAAATTTTATAGATATCAATTAGCTGCGAGATCATGTCAATTATGTCATCTAAGGCTAGATAGCAATTTATTAATGATTAATTGCGTTTTCTATTGGTGGAGTGGGGATCGAGTTTGCGAGAACACGATGATAATTTTTTCGTCCAATACAAGCTAAAAAATGAAGAAAGGCATCTCGAAAACTCGATCGTGAACATGAATTATAGGACCAGGCTATCTACTGGTAGCTTATTGCGTTGATTTCAACCAGGAACATTTCTCTAAAGATGTGCTCATGTCAATCAGCTATGTGTGATCGATGACTGGCCCATCGATCACAATCTAACGGTAGCATATTTAATTAATACATAGTATATTATTCTATTATTTATATAATATATATGCACGAAATCACAAATTAACTAAGCTATTTCGACAATATAAATGCTATATATAGTTCAATAATTGCACTCACATTTTTTTTCTAAATATACGTACGCACATTATGTAGTCAGCTATTTGTTAAATCTTAAATATAACATAAGGTTCACCACTTATTGTGATATCTAGCAAAGTATTAATCTACTACTTTGACGCGTTCTAATTCTTTATTGTTATCGAGTTTTTTTTCAATAAAACCACTACTTGTAGGATAAAAAGCGACACTAAATTCAATAATTGTTATAATACTGTTTTGAGCTCTATGAGTTCGAAGGCAACAAGTTTCGTGAAACGAAACAGAAAAAAAATAGAAAATGCCAACTCCGCCTTCGTAACTCGCTTCTACTATTTCGAATTCAAATGCAACTATTCGTTTTATGGTTTTATTCGTATTTTTTTTTTAAACATAGCCGCGCACTATGATAGTTTAATCACTATGACGTACTCGTCAACTACGGTTTCAGTTTAATTACAATCGAGCTTTAGCTATTGATCTTGCTATACCATGATTATATGATGTTTATGATGGAGGTTTATATGATGCGAGTTATATGATATGACGAATGATTCGATAAATATTATGTAAATGTGATTATGACATTGGACGGGTACAAGTGTTATGTTATTGAAAACAAAATCGGTTTAATGAAAAAATAAAACAAAAGGATTGCAATTAGAAAATTTGTCCGCGAGTAGCGAAGCATCATGAAAATGCATAATAAAAAGTAAACGGTAGCTGTTTTTATTTTCAAATACAGAGACATTTACTAGTTTTTTTTGGTAGTTTATTTTCAAGTATGGCTGCAGCAATCGCTATAAGATCATCGCTATTATATGCAACGAGACATTACAGAATCTTATTGATTTATATAGGCTTATTACAAAAAAAAGAAAAAAAATCAGCGACTGGATGCAATATACATTGATTATTAGGCAGAACAATTGGCATCCACACAACGAAGAATATGGGACCAAAGAACTTTTGGAAAATTATCGAATAAGTTTATCTTTATCTCTCTATATTCCGCGAGAAAATTGCCGCGCCCGTAAACATGGCACTGTTCGTGTGTATATTATTGTTTGTCATGTGTTTTTTTATCGTATGTATGAACAAAAAATGCTGACTCTTTTTACGTCTTGTTTAGCTTATTGTTTTCTGTATACGTTTAGAATGTGCTCTTGGTGTTTTATATTGTTACACATGTTCGTGGGTCCGAGTTTCGTGTGTGCGTGTGCGTATGTTATTTCATTTTTTTATTAAGCAACGAACAAATAAAATTTTGCGTCCTTTTTACAATTCGGCTTTTTATTGTCATTCCATTCGTTTTTCGTTAATGCCGAAATTGAAAGAGAAACGCAAATTCAATATATAGTAGAAATATGTCAATAATAAAATTCTACATACTGCAGTCATCCGAATCACGAGGCTCTTTCAAATTAGTAATAACTTCATATGTATGTTTATTTGGATATATGAATGATAATAACAATATGACAGCGACTGCAGCTTTTTTTGTTACAAGAATTGCGTGAGATTGCGAGTATGTGTGTATGTTGTGACAAAGTGAGTATGTATGCGTGTATTCATTGTCTGCGTTTGTTATTTGTTTTGTGTTTCGTGTATTTCGTGCGTACCCTCTCGTACAAGCGTCGCTTGTCGTACAAAAAAAGTAGAATAAAAGATTTTGAAAATTGCTGCATAATCAGCGTCTTCATCCTTATCATGCTAATGAGAAACGTAATAATTTTCAAGGGAAAATTTGCGAGACAGCGTGTTAAATTTGCGAGCATTTCAAGTTTAAGGATAACTGCATTAATGAATCTAACGTAATTGTTGGAATGAGCTCGAAGAGACACGGGTACGAGAATCACGCATTGAAGTGAGTCTGTGTGTGTGCTGTTTAATTTTTTGTGTATAAGTGTATCATATGTGTGAGTGCGAGTGTGTTTTTTTAGCAAGAGTTTTTAAAATACATATATAAATAATAATTAGGCATTACAGTACCGTATAAAGCACTCGTTACTTTCAACGATAAATAATAACACAAACAGTTATCAAAAGAAATTAACAGTAAAATAAAAGTTTAGCTTTTTACTCGTATGATAAATAACGTTCAACAAAAAAGTAATAATAAATAAATAGATATGTAGAGATAACTGCTAAGTATGTGACCTGGATTGTAGTTACCTTTCAGTTTTTTCTTAGGCTCTGAAACAAGAAGATCATCTGATAGCGTGTGTTTAGAATGCTTCTTGATAAAATTGGTTGGGGTGGGGGTGATAATAATAGGGTGGGAGTATATGATTCGCGATAATGATGAATATATATTAGATATATCATATTGATATCCATACATGTGTTATTTTTATTTTTTTTGTTCATTCATGATTGCACATGTATGCATATGATTTTTATAATATTTTACAACTACATTGTACATTATTTTGCTTTCAGGGTTGTTATGAATCGATCAATATTTTTGATTAAAAAAAGTATATGTCCGATTTCGTTGCATGAAATTCTATATTATAGGGGAGATGTATAATTATTCAAGTCAAACCTCAAATTTAATCCACTAATGAAACGATGAAACTTGGATAGAATAGTAACATTATGTAATTTATATTATTTATACGCTAAGGTGCAACAATTTCATAACTCTTTATAAAACTCGTTATACATTAATTCATGGATCAAAGAAACGTTAATATTATAATTATAAATAAATATACTGATTGTTAATGTAATAATTAAATAATCATCATATCAATAAAAAAATTGTCAATATCCAAATATAATTGACAATTATACGGTTTATCAGAAAACAATCGATAAAGATACGGTTATTCAGTCGAACGGGAAAAATACAACTCACCATCGTCCGGTTCGTCCTCGTTGTCTTCCTCCTCGGTGTCGGTGCTTTTGCTTTTCCCGAGGTTTTTCAGCTTTTTTCTCTTGGCCGCGGCTCTCCTCCGCGCTGAGAGTGGAACAAAAAGACAAAACGATTTAACAACTCGTAAAAAGCGCTCGTCTCATTATGTCGCTTATATATAGGTGGTGTATAAGGAGAACTTTTATTACCTTCCATGATGTGCATTTTTTCCTCCTCGGTGGTACGTTCTTCGGCCAAGATGACCTCCTCTGCAGAAGATTTTTTAATGCCATTATCTATTATATGAAGTATATCGTGCGTAAAATCATGCGGGGATTTTCAAGCCGTATTAATACAGACACTTGCGTTTGCATAAATTATAGCAAAACGACGCTGGCGCATCATAATTTCGGAGCTTCGATATAATAGCGAACATCGATCGATATTGGGTAATGTACGATTTATATACAAAGATGCTTAAATCTAAACACTCAGTAAAATAAAAAATAAAAAATTATGATTCAACTAGCTTCATGTGTGCTAACCTGCTTTACAGATCCATTCGACGTAACCGTTGAGCTCGCGCTCGAGCTGCTGATGTCTTCGCATTTTCAGAAAGGTCTGCCGGTTTTCGACCTTTTCTCTCTCTTTCGCAAACTCTCTACAAGCGTACAAGGGAAGGAAAAATTTGACAAAATTGTATACAACAGCAAAAGCGGGTTGACAAATTTTTTAACATAATATAATTTTTACATCATGTATGGATGTCGAGAGAAGAAGCCTTTTACTTTTATTTTTACAAAGCTTCTTCTTTCTTACCTGTTTAATTTATTTGACACATTCTTTTTTTTTTGCAATTATTTTTTTATACGCACAAAGTATAATTATGAGATAGTATTATTCTAGCTTTTACACGTGGATAGTATTACATACTTAGCCAGAAAGGCGCGCCACAGTGCTCCTCGATAAGGGAATTATATTTGCGAATCTTCCTAATTTTACGTGTTGCTTTAAGCTTAAGAAATATAAACTGTATTACATTTTAATGTATACAACTGGAGATATAATTACTCTGGCCAAGCTCTACGTTTTGGAGCAATGAAAGAAAATGAGAAAATTATAAACCTGCTTGAGTTATCCAGTCTAAATAAGAGACGAAGGCAGTAGCGAAAAGTCGCTTCATTTTTGCCTTTTGATAATTAGCTCGTCTCTCCACACGTGTTCTTTCGTTTGAAAATTCCCTGAGGAGTATTTTTTGGCTTTTATTTTCTTTTTTTGTATTTATTCGAAAAAATGACTAATGCTCCCTTCATCTGCATGTTGAATTTTCGTGTGTATATACCATTATAATACGTCTCATAACCCAAGGTGGATGTTATTCAATTCCAAATGAAATTTGATGAATATATAAATAATTGTAAATGAGAATGATCGATTTTTTTCTTAATGACATCATGATAGTGCGTTTTTGCCGATTCAACTTACCCGCTCAACACACCGAGAACTAGATTCAGCATGAAGAATGATCCAATGACGATCAGCGGTATAAAGTAAACCCAGTTGAACGTACTACCGAGTGCGTCATTTGTCTAAAAAATTCATCAAATTATCGTAAAAGAACATACATGGTTAATTAATTATTTTTCTGTCGTTTTAACATCATCTCTATTTTTTTCTTTTTTTTCCTCTCGCTTTGATATATTTTTCTTTCATCTTTTGCAAAAGATTATAGCGTGTCTCGGGATACATAGCACAGCAACACAACATCTCAAATACAAATCAGCGCACGTTTATATAATAACGATAATAATAATAATAATAATAGTGAATGGCACATATAGATTTGTAGGAGCCAGATTATCGCAGCCAGTTTGACAAAAAAATATTGTGCATAAACACACACAGGCGCCCGCACGCAAGTTTTGTAGACCATCAGGCGACATTTAGAAAAAAAAAGTTACACTCATAAATGTTCGAAGATAGTAATAGTATAGTAAGTAGATTATAGATTATAGAGAGTTAGTGAGAAGTTGCAGAGTACACATTATAGAGTTAAAAAAACATTGCCAAGCTTAATTTCAACACATCAAATATTGCTTATACATCTCAGCATTGTTTTACACATAGAGAGATAGATAGAGAGGATATTTCATCTATGCTGATAGAGTAGAAGTAAAAGAATTTTTAGCACAGTAAATAGATTTTATGAAAGGGAGGCACAATGAGTTAATTTTACAATGCCATTTGGATTTTCGATGCGTTTCATATTGATATTATATATAATAGGAAATGAATATATATTTGTGCTTTAGCAGGTTTTTAATTGAAGTTCCTTTTGTTGCTATATACATGATACCTTCGAGTATTTTCAGTAATAACTCGAAGATTTCATAATATTAACTAAGGAATTATATTCAGTTCGTTAGTAAGGAGACTCGACTATTCGGAGTGAGATGATGTTATATCATATATATTATTTTGTGAAAATTAGTAGGCCCTTATGATCTTGCCAAATACTCAAAATGAGATTTTGCTTTATATAGTGCAAAGGAGATTCACTCGTGTCTTGAATTATTTACAGACATTTCATGACGTATTTCTAGGTAGAGCTAGACTAGTGATAACTATTTTGCAAGTGAAAGTGTTTAATTATTGGTATTTTATGTGAACAAATACGCGACACGCCAGAACATAAAAGCAACGCGACTTCGTGAAATGATTAATCAAATTTTATGATACTACCAACAACGTATATGCAAAATTTCATCACCGGCATTAGGTGATGACATTAACATTTACTTACATGCGTAAAGCATAGGTATTTTCTGCTAATCAATGCACAAAGTAGTGTTTTGAATTTTCTGGCGTGCAACGAGATCGAAAGACACCAGTGAAATTTTGACTTTCGGCAAGATATTCAAGTTTTATGGAGTTAGGGCAAAATATGCACGTACATATTCGGGATTATGTACGTACATATTATTTGGTAATGAAATTATTACAAATGAGGTCTAGAACTGACAGTGTCATACTGAGCAAAGTGAATACATACGTCAGTGTTAGCAAAGATTTGTCAGGAATCCGGAGAACATTTACAAACACTTTTTTTAAATGTCATGCTTATTGCCACGCCATGTAAAGAAAATTAATTCAACAAAGGTTGCAATTGAAATGAACAAAAAATCAAATAAAAAAAAAAATTTCTCACGCGTAAATGAATTAAATTGAAGTAAAATTTTGGTGATTTTCAATGAAAGAAGTCGTGCCTGCGCTTAAGAAAATGTCGAACGGTTTTTTTACGTACTCGTCTTTAAAAGTTTGCTTTTAATTTATGAATTTTATCGTATGCTCACATATTTGAAATTGAAAAACTTTTTTGGAAAAATACATACAAAAATTAGACTCTGAAGAAAAATTAAAAAATGGCAAAGAGAGTATTTTTAATATAGCTATTAATTTGATGTACCGAAAAAATTGTACCTGCATTATCATTCTAAGTGCATGGGTGTTATTTTACAGGAGTGCAATTGACTAAATATAATATTAGTTCCTGAAAAATAAATATGCAGGTATATTTTATGAAAATATTGCTGAAAAGTTATTTTTTGTTATTTCGTAAAATTAAAAATGTATCTTATTATCTCAGGCACGAGCTCTTATTGTTAATTGTGTTAGTAAATAATAATATAAGTATATATAATTACCACCAATTGAGATTTTCAGATGCGTCTAAAACATCAAACGATAAGAGAAAGAAAATACATCTAAAAGGTAAAGCAAGAAAAATACTAACAGAAATTGTGAATTATAAAGAAGAAGAAATATTAAGTGCATAACATAAGCAGACGGCAATTGGGCACACCTTGCATTTGTTTCTTCTTCGCATTGTTGGCGAACGTAAAATTAAAAAAAATCATCAAAATATGTAATAAATTGACCAACAACACTTACGAGTAAAATATATTTTTTAATTAATACACTTGATGATTCGGTGAGCAAAATAAATCATTGCCATACTGTAACGGTGAAAAATTTTCTTTCAAAAAATGTTTCAAAACAATATATGATTTCAAACTTTGCACTTACGATGAAATTGTTTTTCTTTTCATCATGAATAATGTAAAATCATATACTATAAGTCGTATAAAAATTCAAGAAGCATCGCTCAGCATGTTGCATGAAAAATCAAAAAGAAAGCAGGTACAAAAAATGCTATGAAAAAGTTTCAAAAATTACAAACATAAGCGGTATATTGTTTATACTTAAACAAGCGAAAAAGAGACGAATGCAAGGTCGAATGGTTATATAATACGGAAAGACATTGAGATAGAAAAAATGTACAGAGAAGTCGATAACCAGGCCGCGCATATAGTATACTGATAAAAAAGATAAAAACAGAGCTATGCCAAAAGCTCGCTCGGAGTATATTATATGCATATTTTTTTTTCGTATTTTTCATTCATCTTGTTTTGTTTTTCATTTTGTTCCAATTCCAATAACACTGATGAACATATTGCTGCGTTTTACCCAGTACAATATGGCAGTCCAGCCCTCCATGGTGATACACTGGAAGACTGTTAGCATAGCGAATCCGATGTTGTCGAAACTGGTTATGCCGTTGTTTGGTCCCTCCCAGCGATCGGAGCACTTCGACGTGTTGGCGTTGCACACGTGGGCGCCCATCGGCGCCTCGGATTCTATGTCTGTGTTGCACGGGTTCGGCTGTTCACCGTCCTTCACGATCAGATCTGTAAACGCGATCGTGTCGCACGCGGCAAATTACGGTTACAATAATTGCTGCGCCAGTCCAACTTGTATGTCGTCAACTCACCGGAATTCTCGATGCTGTAGCACGTTTTGTGCAGGGTACCGGAATAAAACTCCAGCCCAATGATGGCAAAGATCACAATGGCAAACAAGACGAGCAAGCCAATCTGCAAGAGTGGTGCCATCGCCTTGATGATGGACTTGAGTACCACCTGGAGACCTGTTTGAAGAAATCCGCACAATTGTTAATTAATTTAACGACACCGAGGCGCTCCCGCGCGCCGGTTCGGGAGACGATATGCCAGCCGGCACTCAAAACTTCATCAACAATGGTTTTGTAATTTCATAATCTTTTATCTACTCGCTACGTAAAAATCGTATCTAAGATACAATTTTATACTTTTATATTTTTAACTAACAACGAAAAAAATAATAATAAATACTCGACTAACTACTGGTGCTAATTAATAACAAAAACTAGTACTATCTGTGCTTGATCATTGTTATAGTTTATACGACTGACAGACGGATAACGCCAGAATTAGATGGGAAATAGGTGTACTCACTTGGAATGCCGGAAACAAGTTTCAGCGGCCGAAGCACGCGTATAGCGCGCAACGTTCGCAGATCCATGTCCAGGTTTATGCCCTGCGGGAATGCCGTGATGAACCTGCCCAAAACACACACACAAGCCCGCCACACTTTAGCTACTTTATGCTACTTCGCTATTAATGAGTTGAGGCTAATTGCACTACTAAACAAGTAGCAAGTATATGTATGGTAATGTTCATTGTTATTTGGTCGAATTCTTATGTGTTTAAATATATGAAATCTCATCTATGTTATTCAAATTTTCTATGACTATATCTCATATATCTAAAACTAAGGTGTTTGAAAGACATTTTATGAAATTTTAGCTGAAGAAAAAGTTTAGACGATGATAATGATTTACTAGCGGTCGTCATTTTGAAATAATGTTAATTGCCAAATGTCATGTAACTAGTATATATTTTTTTTAATTTCTCAAAATGTATTTCATACTTTGTAGTATTTCTATATAATTATCAAAATGATTCATTAGTGTTTGAACAGTATTATTTTGATCCAATTAAAATATTACAGTTATTTGTAATGATTCACTTCAATAAATATAATTTATAATCTTCTTTAAAATGGTAATTACAACATCGAAATTGGGTGAAATAAAAATTTACAAAATATTGAAATGAAAGTATAAATTTTAAAATTGAAAATAATATTAATGTTAAATAACTAAAAAACTAAATGATGAAAAAATGGATGAGAAATATTAGTATTGCTACGTTCATGTATCATATAATGACCTAAATCTAAGGCTAAGCATTAAGATATGCATTATGATATTCATGTAAAAATACTTTCTAAAAAAGACACACAGTTTCATACTATTTTACTCATTTTATCGATTGGAGTATTGAATTTCTAAATCTAATTATAACAAATATTCGCATCTGCACGTAGTGATAATGTATATTAAAATTTAATTTGAAATTCTTTTTGAAGAATTTCCGTCGCATTGAAGATCTCACAGTCAGTTGATTAATTACTCGTTGCTTTTCATTTAAATGTGTTTCATGTGTATTTTCGAAAAAGTTGTCTTTTATTCGTAAAAAGTGTAGCAACGGTCATAAACTTCAGTAACAAAAATATTCGAATTAATTTTCTCTAACATTTAAAACCGGCTGTACAGCTACATTGAATTCATCGAATTGCATGTGAATTCTCAAACAGACAAGTACTCTCGAAGCTCGGCTGCGAATTACATTTCAATCATTTTGTCAGTCGGTGCAAATTTGATAACGGCGTAACTAGGGGTTACATTTTCTATTAATATTTCTAGTTTCAGAACTAACTCGTTGGGAATTATAATGGAATGACAAACTAGCAATTAAAATAAGCGACAAAACAGATCTTCCGTGCAGATTAATCAAGTTCTTGATGGTCTATTTTTATGTCGGACTAAAAAATGCGCTCTACTTGTATATATCATCTATAGTTTCGTAGCGAATCATCTTCTATTGAATCACACAGATTCTAAACTTATTTTTCTCCTATAAGCTTGAAACTACGCACTATAATGTGTTATATTTTGTTATTGCGTCGATTACGACACGCACATCGATGTTAGTTTGTTGTTAATCCTTACCCAGGTGTGGGACCTCTCGTACTCTTGTTAATCCTTGAACCGTCTGATTATGATCTCATCGGAAACATGTACTACCCTATGTTATTTTGCTCATTTTTTATTAAAGTAACTAAAGAATTTAAAAACCTAACAATCAGTAAATCTAAATAATTCATGAGTCTACTTTTCTAGCCTAATAATGTTTTCGTCTCAAAAATTCTTATCAATTACTTCTCAACGTAGTATTAAAACTTTTTTTTGTGTTTATTCTGCTTGACGAATCAATACGTCTACGAATACGATCGAGTACCAGAACATTGTTGAAAGGTAAAATCGATAGTTGTTGAATGTAACAGCTTCTGATTGAGTATTTAGTAAACCTCTCAAGAATTTTACTGTTTATTTATTTTTGTTTTACACAATTTTCAATCATACGCTATCTATCATTTTTACAGCAAAAAATGAGCAAAGATTAAGATAATTAGTTTACTAGAATAATAATGTGTCAACTATCAGTTTCGTTAAATTTTCTATTTCATTAGATTTCCAAATTTATTTTTAATGAAAAATACATCATTAGACATGTAGAAATATGACGATAAAATAAATTAAGACTGTCACACACTAACTTACTTACGTCTAGAACTAAACCCTAAGACCTAACGGTAACTAAACTTAATAAGATGTACATCATAATTTCACGATTACGTTAAGTGTCACAATTAAGAGCTCTAAAAGTCACTTTATTCCTATTGCACGTACATATAATTAGGGGACCAACTAAGTTGGTCTAGTTTCAAAACTATCTAAAAACTCTCAGCTGCTTTACAATTGATAAACACAGGAAAGTGCACAAGAATAATTGTACACGCACTTGTATTAGCCTAATTGAATCGAAGTCAACGGAGCTTTAGCATTTTTACGCACTATGAAAAAATTTATTAAAAAAATCCTCCAACTATACGACTCTTGTTTCAATTCCACTCGTTTTTGTTTTTGTCAACTCACTTGGTATTTTTGAAACCAGCTTTAACGGCCTGAGTACCCTGAAGGAACGTAGCATTCGCAGATCGACTTCCACATTCGTTTCGGCGAAAACAGTCAACGACCTATTACGTATATTCATTTTATTTTTTCAATTTCTACTTCTCGTTTTCAATCAATGAACGTTAGTCGATAGTTTTTTTTTACATTTCTCGAAAAGTTGAATGAATTATGCGAATAAAATCAACGAAAAAAAAACCACACACACAGGATGAATAAATCATGGTGATTTGAAAACATTACCTTGTTTGCTCATTGGATAGATTTGATGAAAAACATTTTTTTTTGTTTTTCAATGAAAATAAAAAGAAGCAAAGAAACATGCAGCCTTACCCAGTGACAACTACGAAGAAGTCCATGATGTTCCAGATGTTTCTGAGATACGAGCCCCGATGCAGCACGAAGCCGAGCGCCAGGATCTTCAGGCTCGCCTCGACGCAAAAGATGCCGAGGAAGTAGATCTCCGTGGTCTCGAGCTTCTTGGCCAGTGTGGTCTTGTCCTGGCAGGGCAGATGTTCCTCGAGGGCCAGCACGACGCAGTTGGCTATGATGGTGAGCAGCACCGCGTACTCGAAGGGCGGCCATTCTATGATGAATCGTGTGTGCCGCCTAATGCAATTGTCCTCGCTCAGTATGAACAGGGAGGACGGGCCCTTGCGCTCCCCGTCGCCCGCCCCGCCCTGATCCCGGCCTGGTGCCATGCCGCCTAGTACCTGCGCATAGAAACGTGTGGTGGTGCCGTATTGCCGGGGTTCGGAGAGAAACTTTTGGGTGTTCGACTACGTCGGGGCTGTGTGTATGCAGCTGCCATCTACTCCTTTTCTCCTCCTCCTCCTCCTCCATCTCCATACCTCGATCTCGCGCAATTCCCCGGTCTGCCGTTAACGAGCCAACTTTTATGTTATTATTTCCGATGAAACGGGCGCCGCAGTGAGCTTCGCTGATTAAATTTTACCCCTCGCGATACACTCGCACACATCTCGTGTATTATAATGTACACGCTGAAGTAGTTCACTGCTCTTTCTCTGTACGAACCAACATTTAAATTTAATTCCGTAATTGGACCGGCGTTACGATGATGTACTTTTTTTTCATGAATTGTTTCTTGAGAATGGAAAAAAGTTTGCAAGCTCCGACGCGCAAATCACAAAGTTTCCGAGTTTTTTACCTGAGTCAATAATGATGAATGTACATTTTTTGCTTTAGTTTTTTTTTTTTTAATACCGTCATGGCACGGTGCCCTTTTTGAAATGGCGCGTGGCGGGCAAGGTACATCGATAAAATCCAATTGAAGTATCAATTAAAATGAAATGGCGCTTCGGCTCTCTTGCTCACTTTCTCTTCATATTGCGCAAGAAATTAACGCGCCCGTGTACAGATTCATCGTCGACGAAGTAGCGGCACAGCAATTTCAAATTCGTTTAGAGGACAACTCAATTTTCTTCCATCTCTTTCCCACTTCCCCATAAAGGCACAAAATTTCATTAAACCGAGAGGAAAATAAACTCGTTACATGCATTCGATCGAGCAGCTCTCGCGTAGTACATCGCGAGCGCATAGGAAACGAAAATTAATAGAAAAAGGAAAAAAAGTAAAAACTGCGTCCGCCTAGGTCTACGCGTGTATCGATTGTCCTCGAGAAAGAAGAGGTACGAGAAAAGGGCAATTATGTCTTATTAGGAAACTGCCGGATGACCTTACCTCCCCGCCGGTGCCAGCCCAGTCACCGAGACCGCTCAGACCGGCCGCCCTTTGCCTTCTCCTGAACTGACTGGTGTATCCAGGTTCCCTTTGTGCCGCCTCTTGCGCTGCCAACCTGAAATCAACGATTTTTCATTGTGTAATTTTATTATCTGCATTGACACACGATTGCATTTGTGTATAGACGAATATATAAATGTATATGGGCTATTCCACAGTGGTATAAACAAAATGATTGTGATTTCTCCTATCTTGTAGGTCGAAAAAAAAGGTTTTTGGCGATTTTTCTGTTAATACGTTACAAATATTAGGCGCATTTTAAATAACTTGAAAATGACAATCTAATTGCTTCGAAAAATCTGTAAAAAACTTTAACCACTCTATACATAATAATACTATTTTAAGCATCTGCCATTAGATGGCGAGAATCGCTTCACGCGTAAATATGCATGTGGAAAAGTAAAAATAATTATATAAGTTTAATCCATTAAGTTCAGTCCATCATATTCAAAAGCATTCGGTTTTTTTGCTTTTCAGAGGAATGGTGCACGTGTCCAATAAAACTAAAAAATTAAAATTCGGGGCAAATACGTCGAATGAGCGGCATTTACCACGCTTCACGTGGTATAGCCCACGTATACAAATAAACCAATATCTTCTTCGGGCAAATTCAATTAATTTCGCTAGCTTATGTATTCGAGATTACGTGTAGGCATTGTTATGCGAGGTGGGAAAGGAGGGGGAGGGAGTCGGCTAACACACAACGACGTGTATTAGAAAATCGATATAATATATCACGAGCCGTGTACACGCGTGCACTCGACTAAAGCGAGAGAGGGTGAGAAAGAGAGAGAGGCGAGTGGAAAAAAATGAGAATCGCAACTCTTGACCCTGTAACGAGAAAACTTGTCGCTCGGCTATTTTCATCCGCAGGCAGTATACCGTAACAGGGGCTCATTCGACGAGAGAGTGAGAAAAAAAGGATAATTCTTCGCGGCACTTATACACACGTATAAAGAGGAAAAGGGGCTAATGAAGTTGAATGCAGCGCGGGCGCGAGGGAGAGCTACAACAGTCGCGCGTTATATTGAAAGGAAGAATTTGGCCGTTTACGAGTGATTGATGAAAAAAAGGAAGGAAAAAAAGAAGAAAATTCACGACTTGTTGGAGAAAAAGAAAGATATTACTTCCAGTCTAATTACAGGGACAATTAAAAGCCGTACGCCGCTGCTGCCGCTGCCCTGACAATGTGTATAAGTGTGCCGAGCCGAACAAAGGTACAGATCTCTCGATGCATATATCTATAAAACGTAAGCTGCAGTATAATGTATATAAGGCGCGGGACGGAGAGACATTATGACCTACAATTATACTCCATAACTCGCGGATATAGAAAAATCGAGGCCTCGTCGTTTCTCGAGCACTTTTTATCGAGGATATCCAGAATTGAATCGACGCGCGTCGATTTCGCTTGACATTCTGCTCGAGAAAAAGAGCCTAAAAGTGGACTCGAGCGCACGTAACGAAAGATGGACTCGCGTTCACTTTTCCACACATGCACACGCATACAGATATGAGCTAAACACACTTTCTGCAGAGTTTGCACAAATGAAGCCGCTGCTGATGCTGCTCTGGGTACACACTGGCGCCTGTGCTCTCATTCGAGTCGAAATACACGATGTTTAGGCATTAATGCATGTGTGCACACGCGTGGTCAGCCCGACTGAATACACGATTTTCATTCCACGTGAAAGTACACACATCGCGACTATACGATATCTTTCTCCCTCTCTCTTGAGTAGATCCCTTACTCACGAGGCTTTCCGCTATTATAATGTAGAATTTTTCACGCGTTAGTGTTTGTGTGGTCATATACGCACGTGTGTGAATTTCCCCTTGATGCAACTGCTGATCAACAAAGACACGCGCCTGACGATATCGTAAGGCCGGTGTAAATATTATTGTTTGGTCGAAATTTCAGCAGATGCAAATGGAAAATGCATATTCATGTATATTGGAAAATCCATTCGTGGTTAAACAGTGCTGTGTATTATATAATGTCTATGACTGATCCAAAGACACATAATACATTTTATACTCATCTACATGTGTAATGTGTATCGCAGATGCGATGCGCACTGTGCAATTTCGCGATCGCGAAATGACGATGACTATCTCGATAAAATACAAGGTAGGTACGTACGAGTTATTGACCTGCGCGACGCGGCCTGTTTTTCTCTCTTTTTCTCCAAATACATGTGTGGGTGCATACGATACAACTACGGAGCTTCGCTAAGTACAAAATATAAATTTCAATAATACAAGCTCGAGCTTGCGCGCTATATGCGCTACATGAGATACATTAGGGCTGATGACTCAGGATATTACACTCACGTGTGCTGTATGTGTAAACATATTCGCGACTCAAATAAATTCGACATGCTAGATCTGGGACACGCGATCGCATTCCCACAAATACCACATGCATATACGAAAGAGACTATTATAATTGTATTGTCGTTTCGATTCACAAAAACTTCGCGGTCGCCTACCTGTATATAAAAGCTCGCGATGTGTATACAATACATACACACACGCGCGCGCTCGCAAACTTATACGTAAGCGCTGTATACCGCGAGATAGGAAGTTATAGGCTGTTAACGAACGTCTAATATATATACACACGTGTATATGTGATGAGGTTGAGCGAGTCTGTGTTTGTGAGAGTGTCGATCGTTGTGCGACAACGACGTGGCGTATATTATACACATTCGGCTCGACGACGAGCGACGACGAGATATCAATCAGATCGATACTCGAGCAAGTGCGCGCGATTTATTGTTTCGAATGACGAATGAGCGCGTAAAGGTGAAAATGATCACGCGATACACACGTACGACACAGCTGCCGATGCGACAATTGTACTTTTCAACTCCTTATGCGCCCCGAAGATGCGAGTCGATGTACACGAGTGACATATCGCTTGACATATGTGGTAGGAAGTGCTTATATCGATATGTTTCCTATTAGACATGATCAATATTTTATGGATGTTTTTAGCTTAAGAGGACCATTAGAAATGGAATACTGATAACATTTTCACACTGCATCGAAACCTTTCTTAGATTTATATAATGATTTTAACTTTGCCACTTGCAGATTCACAGATTAAGGTACTCGCCATCTAGTGGTGAAAACTTGAAGTAGTATTATCGTACTTAAAGCGGTTGAAAATTGGTCTAAAATTGTTGAAAAACTTAAATTGTCAATTAAAATATAATTGTAACGTAATTGTAACAGAAAATCGCCAGAAACACGTTAATTAATTGCACTATTAAGAATATTAACATTAAAATGGAAGTAAGAGTGGAGAAAGTTCTTTTCCTTGACGTAAATTAATTCAAATTAATGTATAAGCATTTAGGTTGATTTAATTTGAATGAAAATTTAAGGATTTTTTCATGAATCATAAATCACATTAAATGTTAATGTAAAAAGTAGCTATCAGGGCGTTTGGTTCGGCGCTAGTTTTAGTTTAGTTCGGTCCCAATTCTGAGTGCTGAACTCATTGATGTTTGTACACACCGGGCTTTAACTTATTTAATTAGTTTTACTTTGCCACTTGTAGATTTACAGACAAATGTACTCGCCATCTAGTGGTGGAGCATAGCTTTAATAAAGATAATTATAAATTTCATGTGTAAAGGCATTAATCTTCAAAGAAAATGTTTAATGTTTTAGCAGAATCTTATTATGTATTTAAATTTAATTTTCAACAATATACCGGTGTAATGTAATTGAAAACATTTAAAACGATAAATTTTTGTTAACGGGCTATATCGATCAATTCTACTATAGGATTGCGTTCGCGTATTATGCGCACAGAGGATAATATTATGGATTATTTTGGCCGCCGAATAGACAGCTCGATGCGACGCGAGTCGATTTATCGCACGCGCGGTTAATGGCACGTAGGATAGCGATCGACGCCATATCGCAATAACCGCGAATATAATTAATGCAGCCGCGCCGAGACGAGACCTTATTATCCTTTCGATTATATTATCGCTTGAAACCATCGGGGGGCGCGCGTTGTTACTGACGCGCGTGTATGAGCTGCCATAAAAGAAAACTGAAAATCCGATTAAGTTTTTTTTGTTCTCGTGGCCGTACGTTTATTCATATAACACCTGCGCACCCGTCAAAAATGTTCACGTCGCGTCAAGTCATTACTTAAACGAATGAACCTCCATATAGCAACGAGTTTCGAGCTCATAGCTACAAGCGCGGAGTAAAATTCCGCTCGTCAAAGAGAAAAAGCGAAAACAATGAAGAATCATCCAATCAAAACTCGTTTCAACGCCTGCGTTAATTTTTCACCATAATAAACGACCATATGCAACGTAATATTATATAATACGGACACAAATAAGTAACATATATATAGACAACGGCAGCGATCGCGGTGGCACTGGCGAAGCGTATCCCCACGAGTCGAGACCTATAGGACGGCAGAGAAAAGTGGAGGGGGAGGAATATCGAAATGACACAACGCATTTACTTAATTAATCGCTGGAATACGTCGGCCTGATGGGTTCGCGCGCGCGTCCGATCGATGTATTATTATAGTGTATGTATAAACACACACACACACACATACATCGCGAATTATATACATAATAAACTTCGAGAGAGGGTGAGGGAATTGCGAGAAATAATGGAAAGTATAGATATATATGAATTTTAACGATGGCGCGCCTCCGAGCTGGATTCTGTTCCCGATATTACGTGTGCATGTGCCCGCGTGTGCGTATCGAATAGGCTGCGTCTGTGTATGTATACGTAGGGCATGCAGTGCTATTGATTATAATTTAGTCGCGCACCAGTACATTATTCATTGTCTAATTCGACACGCATGTTGTTCTCTCTCTTCAACTTTATATATTCGATGCATTCGTGCGACTCGCCCATATACATACACGACTCTCTCATATGCTGATCTTTGCATCTTGAGTCGAGTATTAAATGTGTACACCAGCTCGAGGCTCTCTCCGGTGGAGCTGCTGCACAGGTCATTCCGTTATATTATGTTCGGCTGCGACTTGTTACAGAAAT